CTAGTTTGAACTACACCAATTGGATTTTTAACCCTGTTAGAGCACAGAATGTTGGGAATGTGGAATGTGGGTGTTACTGGCTCAGGCAGGGTTTGTTGCCCATCATGAGTTGCCTTCAAAAAGATGAAATGACGTGTCCCATTAAAGTGAGTGAGCACACAGGTGATGGGCTGACTGACGTCTGTCTATGATACAGTCTTCCATGATTAAAGGCAAGCTTTTGGTTATGTCAAGAACATTGAAAGGACCAGGGCAGTCTCAAAAACAAAATGTTGCCACCACCCCCACTTCGTCCGCTAACATTTGAGCTGTTTCTGGTCTCTCTCCAGAAATTGGGATGTCCTGACACTTAAGCCCTGAACCCTTGGATTTCTGGACATGGGTGGCAGTGAAAACTTGACCTCATTGATTTTCCTGTTTTCAATATGGAAGAGTGAGGGGCAGCACTGTACCTCTCAGACTCACAGTCCACCTCTCTGCTGCTGGGGGACACAATGATCCTCGTTCACTGCAACCTGGTCCCTTCGCTCCCCTCCCTCTCTTCCAGAAGCTCGCTTTCTCCTCAACAGAATCCCTCTCATTTTATTCTGTATTACAAAATGCATTGTGTCCGGTTGGATTGTATTCAGCCTATGCAGTAACATCTGGCAACTGCCCAGAGGGAATATCACATCATGTACATGCTGCTGAAAGAGAATGTTAATACCCACCTACTTGCTGTCCTCTCATTCTCTCACCACTCACTCTCTCCCAGAATCATCATCTCTGTTCCGTCTCCTCCAAAGTCTCCTTTCATCTCGTCCCCACTCCCTCTACTCACTCTTTTCCTGTCCTCTGCTGTCTCTTCTACTCCTTGCATCTCTTCCCCCTCCTTAATCCTGCTCTCCCACATACTTTCCCTCACCCCTTTGCCCTCATTCTCTGACTCTACTTGCTCTCCTACTTTCTTTCCGTCCCATCTTGCATAATCTCTCTTCTCTCCCACTCTCTCAAAAAAAGCCCTCCCTTTAAGATTGTCACTCGCCCCCTCTCTTACTCCTCTTACTCACTATCCCACCCTCTCCCATCCTGAGCTCCCTATCTCTGTTGCCCTGTTTTCTTCCCTTCAATCTCACTGCTCCATTTCCCTAAATCTTTTCTATTCACCATCTGTTACAGTTTATCTTTCCCCCTTACCTTCACGCCACATTACACCTGTGATCTCTGCTTTTCCCTCTTCCTTCCTTTCCTGCTTTCCTCTATCTGCTCTTTTTTCCTGATGCCTCCTCTCAGAGTGAGCAACTCTGGTCAAAAGGACTGAGGGATATTTCCCCATGGACGGGGTTGGTCACACTGTGTGCCCGGTTGGTGAGGGAAGGGGTGAACCTGTGAGAATTGGGTATTCGGAGCAAAACTGTGAGAATGGGCAAGGAGGGACACAGTCACAAGATCTGCCCTGGTCCTAATGGCGCCTCCTGCTATCTGCTGCACCAGAGCTCAGAGAGAGGCCCTGATAACTCACCGGTAATGATCCCACTGGCCCACATCCTGGGGAAAGCAGGTATCAAACTTAAGGGACAGTGTTGGACATTATTAATGTTGGATCCCATCGCAAACTCACACTGTCCCTTCATTCCCCATCCCCACTGTTCAAAATCCACCAATACTCTTCCCCATCTATTCTCTCTTGCATCACTTCTGCCAGCTCTTCACTCTCCCATTACCTGTCCTGAAGTTTAAAATCCCTCTCATTTCTTTCCTCTCTCCATCATGCCCCCCTCCTGCTTCCCTAAACACTCCCTTACACTTGCAATCATGTTCTACCCCTCCTTCAATTTTCCCACTCCCTTGCTGCCCATCGCTCCTGCCTTCCCTCACCATCCCCATTCCTACCCACTCATATCGCCTCACTCTCCCCTTCTTCATGCAGTCACCCACCTTCCACTTACTCTCACCCCCAAGCTCCCCTCCTCCACTCTCCCTTTCCCCTCACGCTTATGTTTCATTCATTTTGTTATCGATGCCGCCTTGTTCTCTCTTTCCCAATACTTTACCCTCCTCTCATTCTCCCTTCATTTCACACTCCCTTCCTCCATTCATCACCATCGCCCTCCTAGACACTTTCCCTTCCCAATTCATATCTTCTTCCTAGGCCAAGCCATCTCCCCTTCCAGTCCATGCCTCATCCTTCTCCCTTTGTCTCCCACCTCTCCCTCAGGCTGCCCTCCCCTGCCCTGTACACATCATTCACTCTCACTAGCTCCTTTGCTCTCCCGCCACCTCTCCCATACCCCTCACTCTGCTGATCACTCTCCCCTCCCCCACCTGGACCGCACCATCTGACACTCCCCTATGTTGTCCCAAACACCCTTGCTGTCTCCAAACGTGCTCTCCGTCCCCACCCCCTAGTGCTTGTTCTCCCTCCACATCTGCCACTATATGGAGATGCTGATGTTGGACTGTGGTGGACAAGGTCAGATGTCAGACAACACCAGGTTATAGTCCAACAGGATTATTTGAGATCACAAGTTTTCAAAGCGCTGCCCCTTCATCAGGCGAACTCACCAAAACTATGATTCCAAACAAAACCTGTTGGACTATAACCTGGTGTCATCTGACTTCTAACTTCTGCCACACTCTCTGTCCTCGCTCTCCCCTCACCTTCTGCTTCAGTTTACCCTCCTTATCCCACTCCTCCTAGCTACTACTATCACAATTCCCATCCCCTCAATTCTCCCTTCTTCTCCCCAGTGCTCCCAGCTCTCCAGATAATGGAGCACTCCTCAACCTACTGTCTCCTCTCCCCTTTTTATTACCTCCTCCAATCGCTCTCACCCGAGCATGCAACCCTCTCATTGCTCACCCCACCTCTGAGATCCCCGTATTTTCCACACGACTCTCTCTGTCATACTGCCCCTTTGCTTCCCCCTCCTCTCTCCCCTAACCCTCCTCATTCTCCACGCTCTCTCCCTTCTCCCCACCCGTCCCCTCTATCTGACATCTCCTCACTCCCCTTCCTCCTCCCCCTCACTCTCCTCCATCTGTCTTCCCGTACACTTCATTACCCCACCCCCTCCAAGTGAGCCCTCTCACCTCCACTCCCTCATTGCTCCCTCCTCAGTCCGCCACCCTACCCATTCCTCCTCCACATTCGTCCCCTCTCATCACTCACTACATTCTCTATCACTCACTCTTGATTCCCTGACCCTCCATCCCTCAAGCTTCTATTTTATGGACTCACCTTATCTCCCATTAACACACATTCCCCCCTCCGTTGATCAATCCCTCACCACCAACTCCCCTCAGTCTCCCTGGCCTCTCTCTCCCTCTCTTTCGATGACAGTGTTATTCGATCTCTCCCCCAGCTCCAGCCTCTCTGACTTTGGATCCAAACACAGTGCATCCCCGGCTCATCCTGTCTGAGGACTGGACCAGTGTGAAACTCATAGACACAGATCAGCCGCTCCTTGACTCCCTGGAGAGATTTGATTCCAGGGAATGTGTTCTGGGATAGGAGGGACTCACTGCAGGGAGACAAAATGGGAGGTGGAGGTGAGGCAGAAGAGTCGATGGATTCTGGGAGTAGTCTGCGAGTCTGTGGAGAGGAAAGGGGGAATCAGAATGTGCCCGGAGACCCGATTCTGGATTGTGGTGTTGAGTGCTAGAATTAACTATTTTGCCACCACATCCCCATCAGAGACCTTCTCTCCCCTAGTGTGAACCCCCGGAAGATCGGGGTTTTCCTGGACTATGAGGATGGACAGGTATCATTTTACAATGCGGACAACATGTCTCATCTCGTCACTTTCACCCACACTTTCACTGAGAGGATCTATCCCATCTTCAATCCCAGATGGAACGCCCATGAGAAAAATTCCGCTTTACTGACAATCTGCGGGATTAAAGAGCACTGGCAGATCCATCCCGTAATTTCACCCTGTCCCCCTGTTTCCTGCCAGCTGTAAACTGTTGGGGGGTCAGTCTCAGTCACAGTGGAAAGAGAGGCCAGGTTAACATTTCCAGGAATAAACCCTGTATTGGAACTGGGAACTGAAGATCTGCAAGGAGCTCTGTAGGGCTGGAAGAAAGAAAGAGGCGGGGGGTTGGGGGGTGGTATGTGGGGGGCGAGCGGAGGGAAGGAACAAATAGAAGCTCAATTGTAGAGAGAGCGACTTACTGGGTAGAATGAGCTGTGAGCTGCAGGAACCCAGGGACATATCTGCCTGTAATGTTGACACGGATCTGAGGCGAAGAAATGGAGCACAGATAAAGATCACCCACTCTCCAATAAAAAGGAAGAAGAGATTCAAGGGGCTGAATAGCCCTCTCCTGTCCCTCTCTCCTCTCAGCCCGCTCGTTCCATCCAATGAGGTATTAATCCAAGGCCGTATCTCCCTCCAGCCAGTGTTTCACACCCCGGTAAAGAGGAGGAGGGGAGTTCTCCCGGTGTCTGTGCAACATCCTAACTCAATCCTCACAACTCAACAGAGATTCACCGTCAAAAAAACCCCAAAGAACTGCGGATGCTGGAAATCAGAAAAAAAAACGCGTAAATTGCTGGGGAAACTCAGCAGGTCTGGCAGCATCTGCAGAAAAAAAAAGCAGAGTTAACGTTTCATAGAGTCATACAGCACGGAAACAGACCCTTCGGCCCAACCTATCTTTGCCGAACATAATCCCAAACTAAGCTAGCTCCACCTGCCAGGCCCTGGCCCATGTCCCTCCAAACCTTTCCTATTCATGTACCCATCCAAATGTTTTTAAACGTTGTAATTGTACCCGCATCCACCACTTGCCTTGGAAGTTCACTCCACACACAAACTATCCTCTGTGTAAAAAAATAAAATGCCTCATGTCTTTTTTTAAACCTCTCCCCTGGTCTTGAAATTCCCCATTTTATGGAAAAGACAACAACCATCAACTATCTACACCTCTCATTATTTTATAATCTTCTGTCAGGTCGCCTCTCAACCTACTACACTTCAGTGAAAGAAGTCCCTCCCAGCCTATCCAACTTTTCGTTATAACTCAAACCTTCCATACCCGGCAACATCCTGGTAAATCTCTTCTGACCCATCTCAGCTTAATAATATCCTTCCTATAACTGGACAACCATAACTGGGCACAAGTATTCCCGAACAGGCCTCGCCCAGGTCCAGTGACCGTTTTTCAGAGATTAAACGTCATTCATCTCATTATCCAGCTGCCTCTAAAAGTGCTGCTATGTTTCCTGCATCACGGAGTCTCCCGTACCTGTGAGTAATTTATTTCGAGTGGTGTTTATTTCTGGGGTCATTTGGGCGATTTATGATCTCAAGTCTTTCGTGGTTAGACTGTATACCGCTGCCACCTGCTGACAACATCTCCGCGTTGCAGTAAAAAGTCTCTTTCAAAACAGTTCGATGTGCCGAATGATTTCCTTTCGTGTGGACCAGGTTGTGATTCTTGTTTATCAGATCACAGTCACATATTCCAAAATCGACTTCTTTCATTCTCATTATTTGAGTTTATGTTTTGATGACTATCACTGAGAAACGTTAACTAGAAACAGCGAAATCAATATCAACATCTTTCTGGGAAATATTTTAATTCTCAGTTAATGTGCAAAGTGTGGTAAATGCTGGAGTGTTCGGCTTACTCTGAATTATCCGACATAAACCAATATTGATTTAATCTTGTCAGGGAATTAGAAGGGCAGATAACGTTTGGAAATTGATCACGAATGCCGTGATATCCAGCTAATGTAAATTAAGACACTAAACCTTTTGTAAGGAGCTCACTGGTGACATCTGCGTTTATTTGTTTTGTAAAAAAATTGTAAAATGAGGGCAAACAATTTTGACTGCAATTGTACAATGAGACAACGCCTGTGGCACTGTGACCCACTTTGATCTCCTTACCTGAGGAAGGGCAGCCCTGCCTCAGAGTGAGTGTAACAAAGATTCACTAGATTAATCTCTGGTGGGGATTGTTCTCGAAGCGGTGATTGAGTAGACCAAACCTCTGTTCCTCGGAATTTAGGAGAATGAAATGTGATCATTTAATATGGCTTCAAATGGACGATGAATGGAGGATGTTTCTGATGTACGCGGAATGTGGTACTATGGACCTTAACAGTAAATAGTTATCTTTAGACAATAATCAGGGGGTACCATTTGAAAAGCTGCGTTCACATCCTAGCCTGGTAGCAATGAATTAAACACATCTCGAACAAAACGCTGCTTCAATAATCGAATCTTTTTCAGTTTGAAAGATAATCTGCAGTACTTACCCGGTCTGTCCTACACATTCTGGGGATCTGGGTTCAGGTCAGATGGTGGAATTTGAATTCAATAAATCTCTGGATTAATTATGACCATGAATTCATTGCCGATGGTCAGAAGAAAAACCCATCTGGTTCACTAATGTCCTTTAGGGAAGGAAACTGCCATCCTTACCTGGTCCGGCCTACATGTGACTCCAGATCCACAGCAATAGGGTTGACTCTTAACTGCCCTCTGGGCAATTAGAGATGGGTAATAAATGCTGGCCTAGCCAGCGATGCCCTCATCGTCTGAATGAATAAAGAATTACCTCACATCTAAAGGAATGAGAAACAAAAACAGAAATTGCTGGAGAAACTCAGCAAGCCCGGCAGCATCTGTGAGAAGAAAGCAAAGTTAATGTACCGAAGCTTGGGCATTGTGTCAAGAACACAGTAGAGCCAGAGGCCACAGGAGATCAGAAACTGAGAACAAAACAGGTTAATACGAACAATATCTTCTGTCGCTCAGCCAATTTCCCAGCCAGAACAATCACTTGTCCTCAATCCGACGTCCTCCACATGGTTGCTGCTTAAATCCAGTGTATTCTCCAAGAGAACCGTTCCCTTTGACAGCGGATTCCACATTTTCATCACGCTCTGGAATGAAATTCCTCTTAATATCGGAATAAAAATGCTATTCCAAGACCTTTTACGATCAGTTGATTTTCTTTCCTTCTGAGCTAGTGTCATTGGGAAGGGTCCATGGAACACAACACATGCATTGCCTCATCCCTCCAGACTACCTCTGGAAAGGGCATTCTGGAAACAGGTGGGAAACTGCCTCGGATCCAGTGGGAGGTTTGTCAGTTGTGGATCAGTCGGAGCGCTCTTCCCTCTGAGCAGGTCAGGGCCTCGAGAACTGAACAATAATCCAGACGGACCCTGCCGTACGGAACTGAGAGGGGATAAACCAGTTGTTCTGGTCGCTGGTTTCGTTACTGGGGTTGAGGATAAGGACTCACAACAGTGAGTACATTTCAGAAAGGCTGAATGGTCTTTAAAGTGCTTTGGTAAATCCTGTTATTGTGAAAAACGCGATATGAATGCAAGAATATCGCAGATCAAATCCCCTGAAAGGCTGCCTCTGTATCCATCATCTCAACATCCAATGGACGTTTATAATTCTTTGCATTGGCGGTTGAACAACTGCAATCATTCACACAATTTAGGTTATGGATCTCGATTTAAAACAGCGTTTCACCTGAAAGTTTGTAATCGGCAGTGAGTTCAGTCTGCAGCAAAGTTCAAAGGAAGCTCCCTCACCGCACATTTCTACGTCTTATCTCTCCCCGTCCCTCCGCAATCTTAACATACCATGGACTTTCAACCTAACAGCCAGAGTTCAACTCTGTCTCCCACTTTGCGTTCTAACCCTGTTTACGGAAAGAAACCTCCGAGTAAATTGGGCCTTAGCGAATCTGGTCGAGAAAGCTCGAAAATTAAAGCTGAATCCGAAAGAGAAGGAAAGTAAACGTCACTGTGAGATACATCAGGAAGATCTGAAGCTGTTTTGTGAAACTGACAAGGAATTGATCTGTTTGATTTGTAGAGATTCGCGGGAACACAGAGATCACCGCTTCATCCCGATTAAAGAAGCTGTTGAAATCTACAAGGTAAAAGATGATAATTTTATAAACTCTGAGTTTTGGAATCATTTCACCGGCTACAATTTTAATTATATAATTTCTCTTCCAATCCCAGAATCAGCTGCAATCTTCCTTAGATTCTCTCAAAGAGGAGAAATTGGTGTTTCAAGAAACCGAACAGAAAGAGAAACAGAAGTTTTCCGAAGTTAAGGTGAAATCTCCCATGCTGATTTTCTGGGATTTCGGTTAGTTTTGATCCCTTTATCGCGGGACATTAATGATGCTCTACATTTCATTTGCCAGGAACAGGCGAGCAGTCTGCAGACCCCCATCACATCCGAGTTCACTAAAATGCGATGCTCACTGAGAAAGAGCAGAGCTTACTCAGAGATCTCAGGGAAGAAGAGGAGAGCATTCTAGAGCGAATGGAGAAAACCCTTCGAGAGATTCAGGAGAAGTTAAATTCTATTGAGGAGAAACTCTCAGAGTTGCAGAAACAGATGCAACAAAAAGACGAGCTGATATTTCTGAAGGTGAGGGAATATATTACGGGTTAGATCATAGAAATTTCAGCCGAACACAAAAAGAATACTTCTAATTCTTATGCTAATAAAGCAGTTTCTAAAACAGAGGAATAAAATTAAACTGCTTTTTTGGCGGGTCGTTTCCGGTATTGCCTCTGAATTAATCGCAGAGACACTGCCTGCAGAATTTCGAAAATACCAGCAACTTGCCGGGAATGTGTTGTGATGTTGACAATTGCTTGTCAATTCCGTGTTCCCAAAATTGAATTATATCCTGGAACTCCCATTGTAGTTCCGTGACACTTCCAGATAGAGACCGGGTACGTGTGTCTGGTAGAGCAACAGTGTGAGAGGCACTGTGCCTGTGAGCGGGACTGATGGTCAGGAACAAAAAAAAGTTGCTGGAAAAGCTCAGCAGGTCTGGCAGCATCTGTGAAGGAGAAAACAGAGTTAGCGTTTCGGGTCCGTTGGCCCTTCCTCAGAACTGACGGTGGCTGGGAAAATGTCAGTTTATATGCAGAAAATAGGGAAGTGGGTGGGGTAGGGAGTAAATGATCGGACAGAGCCCAAAGAGAGAGAAAGACATTTGGACAGACAAAGGAGTTGCTAACGATCAGGCTGGGAGGGTGAATAGTTGTTAATGGGGACTGTTAGTGACTAACAGGGGGTGTATAATGGCAGGCTATGTGGCAACAAGGCCTGGTGTGTGGGGTGGGGGCCTGGGACATGGGAGAGTTTAGGCCCTAAAATTATTGAACTCAACATTGAGTCCGGAGGGCTGTAGGGTCCCCAAGCGGAAAATGAGGTGTTGTTCCTTCAGCTTGCGTTGGGCTTGGCTGGAACACTGCAGCAAGCCAGAAACAGAGATGTTGGTCAGGGAGCAGGGTGGTACGTTGAAGTGGCAGGCAACAGGTAGTTCAGGGTCTTTTGCAAGCAGAACGTAGATGTTCTGCGAAGTGGTCGCCAAGTCTACGTTTCGTTTCCCCTATGTCGAGGAGACCACATTGTGAGCAGCGAATGCAGGAGACTAGATTCTGGAAAGTGCAGGTGAAGTGTTGCTTCACCTGGAACGTATGTTTGGGCCCTTGGATACTTGGGATGGAGGAGGTAAATGGGCAGGTGTTGCACCTTCGCCGGTTACAGGGGAAGGTGCCGTAGGGCTGTGAGGAGGTGTTGGGAGTGAAGGAAGTGTGGACCAGGGTGTCCCGGAGGGAACGATCCCTGCGGAAGGCGTACAAGGGAGGAGATGGGAATATGTCTGTGGTGGTGGCATCTTGCTGGAGGTGGCGGAAATGGCGTCTGATGATCTTCTAGATGTGGATGCTGGTGGGATGGTAGGTGAGGATAAGGGGAACCTTATCGCTGTTGCGAGAGGGAAGAGAAGGGTTGAGGTCGGAAGTGTGGGAGATGGGTCGGACCTGGTTGAGGGCCCTGTCGACAACGGAGCTGGGGAATCCTCGGTTGATGGTCAGTTCCAGGTTACTTCACCCTCTCCTCAACCTTCTTTCTAAAATGTATCACTTTACACGTCCGTGTTGTGTCTGCTCATTTCAGCAGCTTGTCTGTCTCCTCCTGAAATCTGTTAGTAATCCTCACTATTTGTGATTCATTTCTTTCAGGAGGCAGCTTGTCGGAAGAGAAGGTAGGACATGCTCTTTACTGAAACTCTGCGCAGTTTGCTCAATAACTCAGTGACGGGTTATTATGGATTTATTTTCTTAGTTATTGTCGCCGGATTGAAGGGTCGTTTATCGGGCGTTGGTAACTCAGTTTCTCGTTCACACATCAGTGTTTCTTTTTATATAACAAGAAGCTTTTGCAGGTTTGAAACAGGATTGGAATTTATAAAGTGTTCTACCATGTTGTAATCAATGTCAAGATGCCTGTGAATAATACAAATTGGTTCTCCGGCTGTAAGTGGTCGCTGACCTGATTCGGGCTTTTTGTGTGACTGTGCCCTTCCCCCTACCCTCAGAGAGACACAGGGCCCATGTTTCCAGGGAATGACCACCCCTGTCCCTTCATAGCTCCCGACCAACCCAAGGCAGTCAGAATTTAAAGGTAGAAGGGGATGTATTTTTAAAATACAACCTTGGTCTGTAACCTTTTCATCACACCAATTATCTCTGTTTCAAGAGGACATTTTACATAACACAATGTCTCGAGGTGTTTCACTGGAGATTTAGAAAGTAAAATGAAAGGGACACCGAACTATTAACAACAACGATTGATGCAGGTTTCTGGGCATCTTAAACGAGTAAAGAGAAATAGAGAGATGGAAAAGTTCAGGGAGGAAATTCCAGATGTGAGTGTCTAGGCAGCTGAAGGTCCAACTTTCCATGGTGGAGACAATAAAATCAGAGCTCTTCGAGAGGCCGGAAACGGAGGAGCGGGATTGTCGGAGGATTGTGGGACCCACGTATTACACATTTCGACATGAAGTTTTTAGATGTTTTCAGTCTTTGTCTTTGTTCCACAAACTCTGTTTATAATGCAACAAATGTACAGGGGAAATGTTTATCATTCCCTGTGGTGTGTGGTGATTTAATAGCTAATCTGTTATCAGGTTTAGACCGTATTTCTTGATCTGGATGTTTCCAACAAATTGATTTTGCAGTTTCACTTCTTGTTTGGTTCAGATGTAACAATAAAATTAACATTTCACTTTCTACCACATTTATTCATAGCTGAATAACATTGAAATCTTTTCCATCATTTTATAAATATTCTAACAAAAAGAGTTGTATTTTTAATTGTTTAATATTTACAGGATTAGTGAGTATGAGCTCATGCTCTCAGCTGCTGATGCCTCTCTGCCTACCAGAAAGTATACTGGCCCTTTAGAGTACATACTCTGGAGAGAAATGATACACACCATTCACCCAGGTAAACATGCGTATTAATTTTCCTCGTGATAAATACTTTTGTGAAGGGAATAAAGGGACTCCAATGCCAGGGAGCCAGTGTGAGCAGGCAGATAATCTGCTTGGGGGAAATGAGACGGTTTCGTTGAGAGGATGGGCTGCTGAAACTGAGTCTGCACAAGATAACGGATGCTGTGTGATGATCGAACTGAAGTGTTCAGGGATGTAAACAGGAGACAGATAAACACTTATAGGTCGAACACGATCATTGATTCGACAACAAGTTTTAGAGACAATTTTAAACTTACATTATAAATGGCGATAGCACAGATTGAAAACAGTGAAACTGATATTTGGAGTGATCTGACTGATCAAAAAATAAACCCACTGATGGCTCAAAATTATTTTGATCATTCTACTAAACTTCTTTGAATAAAATCCTAACGGATTAAATCTCTCCAGAATGTCAGTCCTGTCATCCCAGCAATCAATTTGGTAAACCTGCACTGCACTCCCTCTATATCATTGACATCCTTTCTCCGATAAGGAGATAAAAACTGCAGCAATGCTCCAGGTGTAGCATCATCAACATCCTGCCTAACTGTAGCAAGGCATCCTTTATCCTGTACTCAAATCTTACTGTCTCACTGAACAGTCCCATCTCTATTTTTACAGCCATTCAAATAATAATCTGCCTTCTTATATTTGCGACTAAAGTGGATAACCACACATTTATCCACATTATACTCCATCTGCCATGTATTTTCCCACTCACTCAGCCTGTCCAAATCACACAGCAACATCTTTGCTTCCTCGTCACAGCTCACCTGTCCAACCAGCTTTATGTCATCTGAAAATTTGCAGATATTACATATAGTTCCCTCATATAAATCATGCACATATACTGTGAATAACTGGGTTCCCAAAGTTAATAACTGTGGGACTCCACTAATCACTGCCTGGCATTCAGAAAACAAAAAGACCCATTTTTCCTACTCTTAGTTTCCTGTTTGCAAAAAAAAAATTCTATCCATCTCAATATACTAACCCCAGTCCCAGGCATTTTACAGTAACACATTATCTCTTATGTGGGAGTTTGTCAAAAATCTTCTGAATGTCCAAATAAACCATATCCACTTACTCCCTCGGATCAACTTTACTCGTTACATCCTCAAAACATTTCAGTAGATTACCAAGCATGATTTGCTTTTTTTTTTAAATCCTTGCTGACTATGTCAGATTTTTTAACTGCTATCTCAGTGTTCTGGTATAAGAAAATAAGAGCATAAAAACCAAGAGAAGTAGTAGGCCATCTCGACCTTCAAGCCTGCTCTGCCATTCGATAAGATCATAGCTGATCTTTTCATGGCCTCAGCGCCACTTGCCTATCCTCTCACCATAACCCTTAATTCCTTTACTGTTCAAAATAACTAACTAACTTAGTTTTTAAAATATTCAATGAGGAAGCCTCAACTACTTCACTGGGCAGGGAATTCCACAGATTCACAACCCTTTGGGTGAAGAAGTTCGTCCTCAATTCAGTACTAAATCTGCTGCCCTTAATTTTGAGGCTATTCCCTCTTGTTCTAGTTTCACCCACCAGAGGAAACAACCTCCGTACTCCTATCTTATCTATTCCCTTCATTGTTTTATATGTTTCTATAAGAGCCCTCTTCATTCTTCTAGATTCCAATGAATATAAATCCAGTTTACTCAGTCTCTCCTTATAAGTCAAACCTCTCAACTCTGAAATCAACCTAGTGAATCTCCTCTATACGCTGTCCACTGCCAGTACATCCTTTCTCAAGTAAGGAGACCAAACTGCACGCAGTACTCGAGGTGTTGCCTCAACAGCACTCAATACAGCTGCAACATAACCTCCCTGCTTTTAAACTCAATCCCTCTAGCAATGAAGAACAAAATTCCATTTGCCTTCTTAATTACCTGTTGTACCCGCAACCTTCTGCAACTCATGCAGAAGGACATCCAGGTCCCTCTGCACAGAAGCATGCTGCAATTTTTTTAACCATTCAAATAATAGTCCTTTTTATTGTTATTCCTACCAAAATAGATGACTTCACATTTATCAACATTGTACTCCATCTGCCAGACCTTTGCCCACTCAAACTATTTATATCCCTCTGCAAAGTTTCAGAGATTTCTGCACACTTTGCTCTACCACTCATCATAGTGTCATCCAAAAACTTTGACAAACTGCACTTGGTCCCTAACTCCAAATCATCTATGTAAATTGCAAACAATGACAGTCCAAACATGAATCCCTGAGGCACACCTCTCGTACTGATTGTCAACCACAATAGCACTCATTTATCCCCACTCTTTGCTTCCTGTTAGTTAACCAATCCTCTATCCATGCTAATACATTGCTGGTAACGTCATGCACCTTTATCTTATGCAGCAGCCTTTTACATGGCACCTTGCCGAATACCTTTTGGAAATCTAGATACACCACATCTACTGAGTCACCATTGTCCACCTCGCTCATAATGTCTTCATAGAATTCCAGTAAATTAGTTAAACATAACCTGCCCTTCTTGAACCCATGCTGTGTCTGCCCCATGGGACAATTTCTCTCCAGGTGTCTTGCTATTTCTTCCTTGATGATAGATTCAAGCATTTTCCCCACGAAGTTAAGCTAACCAGCGTGTAATTCCTCATATTTTGTCTACCTCCTTTTTTAAACAGTGGCGTCTATTTGCTGTTTTCCAATCTGCTGGAACTGCCCCAGAGTTCAGCGAAGTTTGGAAACTTACCATGAACACATTTACTATTTCTCTCACCATCTTTTTTAGCACTTTGGGATGCACTCCGTCAGGGCCAGGAGACCTGCCTACATTCAGCTCCATTAGCTTGCCCAACACTACCTTTTCTGTGATAATGATTGTTTCTAGGTCCTCACTTACCTTAGTCTCCTTGTCATCAATTACTGGCATTTTATTTGTGTCCTCCACTGTGAAGACCAACACAAAATACCTCGAATATTTCCTCTTTTCCCATTATTAAATCCCCCTTCTCATCCCCTGAAGGGTCAATGTTTACCTTAGCCATTCATTTTCATTTTATTTATTTGTAGAAACAAATTGTATAAAATTCTTGACAATGTACTTTAACATCTTCCCCATTCCTATGTCAGACTTAATCATCTACAATTTCATGTCTTCTCTCTGCCTTCCTTTTTAAATAGTGGAGTTACAACAGCTCCCTTTCAACCCATAGAAAATGTTTCAGTGTCTAAAGAACCTTGAAAGGAGACCAGCGATACACCTATTATTTTGACAGCTACTTCCTTAATTACTCTGGAATGTAGATTATTGGAGCCTGGGGATTTATCAGCCTTCAATCCCATCAGCTTCTTAAAAAGCACTTCTCTACTAATGCAGATTTGCTTCAGTTCCTATGCTGCATCCAGCAGGAAGATCTCTGATAGACTTCCACGGCTCTGGGATACAATCACCCATATGTCTGAGGTGGAGACCCTGCATTATCATTAGCATAGACCAGTAGAAAGTCTTTGACAGAATATTGCACACCAACATAATGTATATGCTCACCGAAATGGGATTTGGAGAGGGCATTGAAATTAGATCTAAATGTCCTACACTAACATCAGCGTCACAGTTTTAATTGCTTGGTGGGAATCTGAAACCTTTCCAAACAACTCTGACATCTGGCAGGTCTGCACTCTCTACCCCATTTTGCCAAAGTAAATCAAGGCAAACATTTTTTGGGAATGCGACCAAGTTGACTCATTGTTTGTCTTGTCACTGTGAGCCTAGACCACCTGAAGGTGTTTGGGAGGCCAGGGCGTGCAACCAAATAATGAAGGAAAGTGTAGCCATGTTCAAATATGAACTGTGAATGAGAGAGTGAGGCTGCAACTCTGTTGTAGGTCAGGAGCTGATCATCGTGTGTGAGGTTCGTTCCCTGTTGCTGTACCTGGAGCAGGTCTGGTTCAGACCTCACTCCTCTACAGTGGCAATCATCCAAAAAATTGTTTGCTTTGTTTGGACATCAAAAGTGAACCCTTTCGACAGGAATACATTGTACAATTGTCGTCACCTTCTGGTGCTTAAGGTTGTGATCCTTCAATGACCATGACATCCGTTCTGCCATTAAAATCCTTTTGTATGAGGCAGTTATCTTTTAATCTCTTGCACATGGTCTGGAATTGGACTAGGTATGGACACCATCTCAGTGGCCTGGAGAAGTACCTTCAATGCTGTTTAAGACAAATTCTCCACATCAGCTGGAAGAACAGGCGAACTAACATCAGTGTCATTGTAGCAGTCAATAGCAACAGCATCGAATCTATGAAACCAACTCCTACGTGCTGAGGATGCCTACTTTCTCAATGCCAAAGTAAATCTTCTTCACTCAACTCAAGGAAGATAACTAAATCAAAGGAGGACAAAGGAAGCATTTCAAAGACGCCCTCAAGGCATCCCTCAATAAATGCAACATGGATGATAATGTGTAGTAGATCCCCAGTCAGAAGAAATTGATGTGGTGGAACTTCCTGTGAGAAGGAATATAATTCGTTGAGACAACAGCAAAAAGAATTTTGGAAAAGGAACCGGAGAAAGATAAGACTGTGATCTCAAAGCCAAGAAGCAATTCCAGCTCCCAGAAACACCTGCCAGATAAATGGTAGGAGATCCAGCTCTCGGATCAGGCTCATCAGTCACGCAGGGATTCACAAAACCCATGAGAAGTGACGCAGAATTTCCGTGGGGGACAATCATACCCATTAGCAAGATTATTGATTATGACAGATGTGAGACGTGGAGACACTGAGGAGTCTCTGGTGACCACTTTGTGTTTGGTTACATCAGTACACAAACACTAGCGTGTCTCTGGTATGCCCCAAACCTGTTGCTCTTCCAGTGCAAAGAAACATCCTCGATCAAATGTTGCAGACAGGCACGTTCCAAAGGTCAGGACTATGTGCTGAGATTCTACCTGCCCTTGTGTTGCAGGGATAGGTCTAATCATAATGATATGGAATTCTCTACTCAGTTGTAGCATCAATCCCTCAAGAGAGGAGTATAGAGGAATATTCCTGTGACCACATTCCATTGGATAGTGGTTGTTACATTGCTTGCTCAAGGCTTTGAAGGAAAAGTAGATGGCTGAGCCTGTCAGATCGTTCCCTGAGAGGCTGTCAAAGGCATTTGGCAGAATGTCTCATCTCCAGAAATTTCAAACCAGCACTAAGACAAAAATTTACTGCTGATGAACAGGACCCTGCCCAGTGGAATCGCTCCTGGTCACACAGAATTTCACCTTACAATCTCTGCCCACAATGTGACTGCAGTAAAGAAGAGACCATCGAGCACCTTCTTCTACAGTGTGCCTTTGCAAAGCAATGGTTCAGCTTATGTGTCATCCCTAGCAGCTCCTTAACAGTGGACTTTGTGGTGTAGTTAGAATGGGAGCAGGAGTGGCACGAGGAGGAGGGTGGTTCCAGGGCCAGAGAGCAAGTTAAACAACAAGATTTGGTGCTGTACTAGTATACGGCTGTATAGACTGGTTAGTTCATTTGGTTGTTTGTGTTTGTTTGTGATACAAAGTGACAACAACAGTGCGGGTTTAATTCCTACGGAGTGAAGGTCCTGCCTTCTCAATCTCGCCCTTCAACTAATTCATTAAATTTACCACCAGCCTTCTCTCTCTCCCCCCCCCCCCCCCCCCCCCCACAACCCCCCTCTCTCTCTCGGAACAGAGGGCAGCTTCTAAGTCTATAGCAACGTCACTTTCCTTTTAGCTTATGATTCAAGAAGTGGACTCACCGATTCTCTCTGCAACTAAAGGATAATGTTCTTACTTTTATATTCAATTTATCTCGTGATAAAGGATAGCATCTCATTAACATTCTTAATTACTCATTGTTCCTCCATACTAACATTTTCTAACTCATGCACTAGATCACTCTGCACCTCACATTTTTGCAGTTTTTCTCTGTTTAATGTTGTGGCTGGTTGGCTCGCCGAGCTGGTTCAGTGCAGCCTCCCATGAAGCACTGTTGTGTTTTCCCGCCTGTTATTTAAACTCTGGTGTCCTTTGAGTTGGATTACCTCACTTCCGGTTTTCCTTGGCAATAGAGTGTAAATGGGGTCTAGCTCTATGTGTCTATTGATGGCTTTCACCCAAACCAAAGACCCACTACGGACAGGACAATGTCATATACAAGATTCCCTGCAGAGACAAACATTACATTGGACAATCAAGACGGAAGTTAACCACAAGGATTCACCAACATCAACTGGCAACAAAAAGACACGACCAATTCTCGCTCATCTCCATCCACATGGATAAGGTAAACCACCGATTCGACTGGGACAACACCAGGATCCTGGGACAGGCCAGGCAGAGACAAGCACGGGAATTCCTAAAAGGCTGATTCCCTACTATGAAAGCCATTAATAAACACACGGAGCTGGACCCCATATACATTGTGAAGGAAAACTGGAAGTGAGGTAATCCAACTCAGCAGAATCCAGAGTTTAAATAACAGGCAGAAAAATACAACAGCACTTCATTCGGAGGCTGCACTGATGATGTTACCCAGCAGGGTAATGAAACGTCCACGGAACATGGAACCAGCTCGGCGAGCCAACCAACCAAAGTGTCCACAACCCGAGCTAAGTATCCACTTTAAAACCTTTCTCTGTTTAAGTAATGCTTAGTGTTTATAAAATGTTTCCTTGTGAAGACTCCTTTTCCCTCACCTCACTCATGTTATGCTCGATCCCACCATTCTCTCACCCTGCAAACTCTATCCCTCTCATCCTCTCCACTTCTGTCTCCCAACATCCCCTGAGTATCCCTCCCAAAAATTCCCCCATGTGCCTCACTGTACAGTCCTCACTTCCTCCTGCTATCCTACCTCACTCTCTCCTGCTCTTGCTCTTGGTCTTTCATTTATGCTCACTCTCTACTCCTTACCTTTGAACACTCACTCTGTCCCCTTCTGTTCGCCCCATCCACACCCCATTACTGCTTCCTCAGTCCCATCTTGCTCTCTCTGCACTTCCTCTTGGCTCAGTCCTCCCTGTCATTCACTGTCCCCTTGAGCTCATCTTCCCATCCCAGTCATTCTTCCTCATGACCTCCTTCTCATCTTGGCTTGTACCTGTCGCCTAATGTCCCTAATGCCTCAATTTCCCATTTCATAGAATCCCTACAGTATGGAAACAAACCATTCGGCCCAACAAGTCCTCACCGCCCCTCTGAAGGCCATTCCACCCAGACCAATTCGCCTACACCTGTATTTCCCATGCCTAACCCACCCAACCTAAACATCCCTGGGAACTATGGGCAATTTAGCATAGCCAATCCACCTATCCTGCACATCTTTGGACTGTGGGAGGAAACCCACGCAGACACGGGGAGAATATGCAAACTCCACACAGACAGTCGTCTGAGGCTGGAATCAAACCCGGGTCCCTGGCGCTGTGAGGCAGCAGTGCTAACCACTGAGCCACCATGACACCCATCTCCAGCCCACTCCAGCCACTTCACATTTCCCAGATTTATCCATTCCTATTAGTTGTTCACTACAGTACGCCCTCACCGTTCTTTCATTGGGCTACCTTCACTTTTCAATCTACCCCACCTGAGCCTCCAGTCCACTTTAGTCTCCAGTTCCAATTCACTCCCTAATCCATTCTCATTGTCACTCAACCTCCCACTTACACGCTGGTTGCTTGCACTCTCTAATCACTCCACTCCATCAATGTTCCCTCACTCTCTCGTGCTCTCCCTATGCTGTCCCACACTCCCTTCCTCCTTCCTCAATCTCGGTCTCCCTTCCCCACCAGTGCTTCTTCTCCCTCCGCTTCTGCTGCACTCACTGCCCCTGGATGTCCCCCCACATTCTGCTTCAGTTTACCCTCAGCACACTCCCCCTTGCCACTTCCATTACACTTCGCATCCCCTCAATATCCCCTTCTTCTCCCCACGCCACTTGGCTCTCCAGATGATGCTGCACTTACAATCTGCCATCTTCTCCCCGCTTCTCACTCTCACCTGAGCACTCAACCCTCCCATTGCTCACTCTCCAGTCTGAGCTCCCCCTCATTCCCCATATCTCTCTCTCTCATGCCGCCCCTTTGTTCTCCCCTCCTCTCTACGACCCCTCCTCACTCTCCACTCTCTATCCCTTCTCCTTGTCCCTTCATTCTATACCACATCTCCTCGCTCTCCCTCGCTCTCTCTAACCCCCCTCCCTCTGTCCTCCATCTGCTCTTTCCATCCATTTCATTTCCTCATTCACTTTCCTCCAAACGAGCCCTCTCACCTCCCCTCCCTCGCTTCTACTTTCACAGCCACCTGACTTACCCACCCGTCCTTCTCATTCTTATCACTCACTTCACTCTCCCTCACTTAGTCCCCTTTCCCTGGCCCTCCCCTCGTTCAAACATCCGTTTTCGGACTCTCCCTTTCTCCCCTCCACACCCACATATCTCGATTGCTTTACTCTTCATTACCTGCTGTCCTCACTCTATCTGGCCTTTCTCACTGACGGTGTTATATGATCTCTCCCCCAGCTCCAGCATCTCTGACTCTGGATCCGAACTCAGCGCATCCCCGGCTCATCCCGTCTGAAGACCGGACCAGTGTGAGACTCGGAGACAAACGGCAGATGCTTCCTGACTTCCCGAAGAGATTTGATCCCTGGCAATGTGTCTTGGGATCAGAGGGATTCACATCAGGGAGACATTACTGGGAGGTGGAGGTGGAGGAGAAGACTGAATGGATTCTGGGAGTGGCCCGAGAGTCAGTGGAGAGGAAGGGGAAAATCTTCCTGTACACGGAGACTGGTTTCTGGATTGTGAGGCTATTGCCCAGAAATGATTATTTTGCCGCCACCTCACCCTCACGGACACACCTCCCCCTGAGTGTGAATCCCCGGAAGATCGGAGTTTTCCTGGACTATGAAGGTGGAGAGGTGTCATTTTACAATGCGGACACCATGTCCCATCTTTACACTTTCACCCACATTTTCACTGAAAGGATCTTTCCCATCTTCAGTCCTGGACGGAATATTGATGGGAAAAACTCCGCCCCGCTGACAATCTGCGGGATTAAAGGGCACTGACAGATCCATCCCATAATTTCACCCGGTGCCCCTGCCTCCTGCCAGCTGTAAACTGATGGGGGTCGGTCTCAGTCACAGAGGGAGAGAGAAGCCAGGTTAACATTCTGGGAACAAACCCTGTATCAGGACTGGGAACTGAAAGATCAGCAAGGAGCTCTGTAGCGCTGGGCGAAAGAAGGAGAAGGAGAGAAGAAACAAATTGAATCTCAACTGTAAGGAGGGAATTACTGGGTAGAATGAGCTGTGAGCTGCAAGAACCCGGAGACCTTCCTGCCTGTAATGTTGCCCCACAGGCGGGAGGCGGGGCTACACGACGGTGTTGGAGATTTTTTTTCTGAGTTTCTCAGATTCTGCTCAGTGGAGTCTTTCAATCAGTCGGATTAAAAATGTCAGACTGATTTTGTTCCGACTCTCACCATGTTGCAGTAATGCATCTCCCGCGACGATTTAAGAACACTGAGAATTTGGACTTCTTTTGTTCTGGTCTCTTAAATATCATCCAGAATGTCACTACTCTGTCATAAATTTGAAGGGAAGGAAACTCTTCTGTCAACGTGGCCTTATTGTACATTAGAACGGGAATGGGACTATTGACAATCCACATGGTGAGAGATAGGTATAAATGCTAATTTGAAAACGTTTCAGATTAGAAAGTATTGAGTCAGCTGATTGGTTGTGTATGCGATGATCAGATCACAATTAACCATTTTAAAGGCAAATCAACATGTACACTTTTGTGTGTAGGTCAGTTATCATTCATCCCTCATTTATTGCTCTCTCGTCTTCATGTAAATCAGTGAAATTATCCCTACATCACCATAATGTAAATGTCTGTTTTACGGAAATCATTACTCTAACACTCTGTGCATGTACCCCGTTCAGACTGGGTCGATACTTATGCAGTTATAATTTACATGAGTGTGCAGGATAAAATTTGACAATAACTTGTTCAATCAAAACAACAGCTGAGACTCCCTGGAACGAAAGCAAGGTTTCTTTTAAAAAATCCTTCATCAATAACATCAAGAATCAGAACATAAACTTATTTTTTGTTTTGTTTTGGAAATTTCTCCAGATCATCTATCCTTACATCTCCCATCCCAAACGCATCTGGATTATTTTAAGAGTCTATCTTTGGAGTCAATGGTGTGTTGCTTGCCTGGAAATGTTGTCAAGTTTACTCTGGAACTCCAGGCATAGTCTTCGTGTGAAAGGTCATGAGGCGGACAGTGGGAACGTCCACCTATTTCAGTCCTTGAGGCTGTCGAGGCACATGGATAGAGTATTCAGCTGATCCCAGTCCAATGACTTTACCCCTGCTGTTCTGCAATATTGTTTTTTACAGTCAAGCATTCATCAAATTCAAATTTAATTAGATGTCAGAAAGTTGTAATGTTGTGATATTGTAAATGTTTCAGCTTGTTGATAAAGTGTAAACATAAATCCACTGAAACAGGCTAGTGTGATTAACCTCGGTGGTTGGAAATTTGAAGGATAAAAGCAAGTCATGTTTAATCAAATTAACTGAGCTTTCCAGTGAAGACACAGTTAGGATTGGGGGGTGGGTGGCGTTGTGACTTTGGGCTTGGAAGGCATTTGAAAAATTGTCAAATGAAAGAATTAGAAGTAAAATTGAAGCCCATGGACTGAACTTGGGGTGGCACTGTGGCTCAGTGGTCAGCACTGCTGCCTCAGAGCACCAGGGGCCTGGGTTTAATTCCAGTCTTAGGCGACTGTCTGCATGGAGTTTGCCTATTCTCCCCGTGTCTGTGTGGGTTTTCTCTGGGTGCTCCGGTCTCCTTCCACAGTCTAACGATGTACAGGTTAGTTGGATTGGCCATGCTAAATTGCCCATAGCGTCCAGGAAGTATTGGTTAAGCGGATTAACCATGAGGATACAGCGTTACAAGTCTAGGTGGAATAATCTTTGGAGTATCGGTGTGGACTGTTAGGCTGACTGGCCTGTTTCTACACTGTAGGGGTTCTACGAAATGGCAGTGACATCATGAAGATGAATTCGACTGGGTGACAATCATTGTGTATTTTCAGATGGCATGAGTTTTACAGTGATGTTCCCGATGAGTCAGTTCCAGAAGCACTCATTTTCTGGTATATATTAGTGACTTGAATATAAGTATACGTGCCCAAATTTTGAATGATACAGACGCCATTTCAATCAGCGTTGTTTAAACAGGAAGGAGAACAGACACGGACACCCAAAGGACATGGAATGAACTGACTTAACATCTGTAATTTAATCCAGGGCAATGTGAAGTGGTGCAGGTTGGTTCTGAGCTATTTATCACAATGACCAAACACCTTCAATGACTTGTATACATTTTCGGTGAAGTCTGTATGATCATCCACTTGCTTCAGAATTTCCCCTTTTGTTGATATTAGCGTTTTCTTTAAATTGAATAATGCACAAAAGGAGCAAAGCAATGAAGATATTTTACAAAACATTTTGCTGATCTCTGCTAGAGTGTTTTATCCAATTCTGGACTGTGCACTTTGGGAAGGTTGGAATGTTTCAGAAAGCAAGGTTTTGGGAATCAGAGTCTGCAGTTCAGAGCATAGGTTGGAGAGGGTGCGTTATTCTCCTGAGGGAAGAGAAAATTCTGACAAGATTTGCAAGATTTGTTCAAAATTATCAGGAGTCTGGACAGAAAGGAGAAAGAGTGAGTAACTGTTTGTGTCGACAGAAGTGTCTATAAACAGAAGAGATAGACTTAAAGTGATGAGGAGGAGAATCAAAAAAGGAGGAAAAACCTTTCTTTAACATTGAGACAATAGGTTTTGGAACCCACGGCCTTTGCATCAGGGCTGTCTAATGAAGATTAGATTGTTATCTGAACAGAAAAATGCAGTAAAATGAGAACGCAAATGCAATTGTGATGAAAATGTGACATGCTAACAAGAATCTGCAAAGAGGGAATTACAAGAACTTTATTACAGATTTGTAGTCAATATTCTGCATATCAGAATGTTACTGAAAATTTCACCGGCTTGACTGAAAACAGACAATAGTTGCTCTTTGAGAAGGTAAAGAAGGAGATGCAGCAGAGTCAGAGTAGGAGAGGAACAGTGAGCTCAGTTTAAACTGCCCCTAAAATGCAATGCAGACACCCAGGGCCCAAAGCTCATGGTAGGCAGAGAGTAAACAAGTTTGGGATGGCCAGATCAGCACATATCAAAGCGATTTATCGGAGAAAATTTAGGGCAGTGGGACTGGGAGAATTGCACCTCTCGAGAGTCAACTTGAGAGCTCTAGGCCGATTCACCTCTTTCCTTGCTGTGACCATTCTGCAAGTTAATGGTATTCTGATATTTGATTTGGTTCTAACCGATGTGTACCTCAACTCCAGTAAACCCCAATCAGTTCCAGTTTACAGCGTCCAACATCAATCCAACCACTGGACGTGGAATCCTGCCCATTCTGAGATGGAGAATTCTACCACACGACCTTAATCTAAGAAGGACGGGCAAGATTCCAGAGAATTGACAAACGGATTAGCCGCAGGTCTGTCAATCAGACAGAGGGAGACAGAGTTCTGGGATTTTGGGATGTAGATTGCTCAGACAGACTGGTTCCAGAGAAAAGAGACTGGGTTCTAGGAAATGGGGAAGTGTCACTCAGGAAGAGGGAGTTGGGATTCTGCGGAATGTTGAAGTGGATTAAAATCAGAAAGTGCTTGACATAAGCGTCGCATAAAAGACATCGTGTAAGAGGGGAATCCCATCGAATAAAAAGGTTGCTGAACAAAGAGATCATGGAGTTCAGGTTCATGGTTCCTTGAAAGTGGAGTTGCAGGTAGATAAGATAGTGAAGAAGGCGATTAGTATGCTTGCCTGTTTGGTCAACACATTGAATATAGGAGTTGCGAGGTCATGCTGTGGCTGTACAGGACATTAGTTAGGCCACTGTTGGAATACTGCGTGCATTTCTGGTCTCCCTGTTATAGGTAGGATGTTGTGATTCTTGAAAGGGTTCAGAAATGGTTTACAAAGATGTTGCCAGCGTTGGGTGGTAGTGGTGGTGGGGGTTGGGGGAGGGTGCGGGGTGGTTGAACTATAGGGAGATGCTAAATTGACTGGGGCTATTTTCCCTGGATCGTCAGAGGCTGAAGGGTGACCTTTTCGAGGTATATAAAATCATGAGGAGCATGCTAGCGTGAATAGACAAGATATTTTCTCTGGGGTGGTCCGTCCCAAAACTGGAGGGCATAGGTTTAAGGTGAGAGGGGAAAGATTTAAAAGAGACATAAGGGGCAACATTTTCATGCAGAGGGTGTTTCGTGTCTGGAATGAGCTGCCAGAGGAAGCAATGAAGGCAGGTACAGTTACATTTGAAAGGAATCTGGATGGGTACATGAATAGGGAAGATTTGGAGGGATATGGGCCAAATACTGGCAAATGGGACTGGATAAATTTAGGACCTCTGGTCAGCATAGACAAGTCGAACCGAAAGGTCTGTTTCCACGCTGTACATCTCTATGACTCCATGACAGTAATTGCAAGACTTTGCAAGACCAATCTCCTCTTCCCACCACCCGTCCATTCCTAACTACCACCACCATCATTGCATCACTCTCTCTCTCTCTCTCTCTCCCTCCCTCTTTCTGTGTCCCTCCCCCAGTGCCAGCTCTTCATGCATCTTCGTTCTCCAGGCCCAGGTTCAACTTCCTCTCCATGTTCTAAGTATTTCTTATTCAAAATTACAAGATTTTTATTTTGTGGTTGTAAATATGTCGACAAATTGAGTCGTCTAAAATAATGTAGTGGTATGAGCTACTAATTGGCGAACAGAAACGGAGAGGGATGTAAATCGGCTTCAGGAAGATTTGTCAGGCAGAATGAATGGACAAGGACATGGCAGATGGAAAAAAAAAAGTGAGTTCATTTACTTTGCCAGGAGAAAGAAATGTGAAGTTTATTTCTTAAATAGTAAGAGATTGGAAAGTGCAGATGTACAGTGAGATCTATGTGCCCTTGTTGAGAAGTCACTGAGGGAAAATGAGCAGGTGCAGCAAGCTATTAGGAAGGTTAATACAATGTTTGCCTTTAATGCAAGAGGGTTTGAGTACTGGAGTAGAAAAACTAAAACAGAGATTTCTGCAGAAATTCAGCAGGTCTGCCAGCATCTGTGGAGAGAAAGCAGAGTCAATGTTTTTGGTCCAGTGCCCCTTCTTCAGAATCGATTGTAGCGAGGAAAAGGTAGTATTTGTGCTGAAGACCGGAGTGGCAGGGATTTTACTTGTTTTACTCTTTATAGGGCAATGCGGGCAGCATGTTACTATTAGATGGGAAGTGTAGACGAGGAATCCAAACAATAAATGTTAATACTGAGGACAACAACCCAGGGCACCGTTGTCTGCATGAAAAACTGAGTTCACAACCCAGCCTGATAGCAGGTAAGGTAAATTCAATTAATTAAACGCATCTGGAACAGAAAACTAGAATCAAATATCCCATCTCATCAAATTTGACAGGAAATATGCCATCCTTACCCGGTCTGTCCTACATTTTACCTCACGCCTGCGGGAATGCGATTGATTCTTCATTGCCTGTGCAAGTTTATAAAGCTTGGAGGGAGGCGATGGCTTCGTGGTATTATTGCTGGACTGTCAATCCAGAGACCCAGATAACATTCTGAGCACCGGGTTCAAATATCGCCGCGGCATATGGTGGAGCTTTAATTCAATAAAATAGCTGGATTTAAGAATCTAATGATGACCATGAATTTTTCATTTTCAATTGTCAGAAAACCCATCTGGTTCACTCATGTCCTTTAGGGAAGGAAACTGCCATCCTTATCTGGTCTGGCCTACATGTGACTCCGGACCCACAGCCACGTGGTTGACTCTGAACTGCCCGCTGGGCAATTAGGGATGGGCAATCAATGCTGCCCAACCAGGGACGCCCTCATCCCGTTAATGAATAAAAAAAACAGCTGGGGGTAAGATCAACTAAGAATAAAACAGACTGTAGACCCAATCTGGACGAATGGCAGAAACTTCCCTGGTAATTCTTCAAAGTGCTGCTCACTAACATCTCCGGAATTGCGTCAATATTTGGAAACCTGCGCCAGAATTGCCTCAACGGCATCCTGCCATATTCTTGCTGATTGAGCTAGACCTTATAACCAGTGTCCCAAACTCCACCTGGGAGTGTCCTGTGCTTTATTCACTGTGCTTACTTTTTGGAAAAGTGAAGTTCTCTGAGATTCTGTTGATCCCTCACTGGTTAGTTGCGCCTCACTGAAATTACAGAACATCCCAGTGACAGTCAAGAGAGTAACGAACCCATTCGGTTATGTGAAGGAATGTTAGAGGAATTTTGTATCTCTCAGTTTAAAAATTTATTACTCATTAAATTTTTCACTGTGTTCTAATGGGTTGATTGCTTCTAAAATTTGTTTCATCTTGTGAAATCTCTTGTGAACGTTTAACTCTGGGAAAGCTCGATCAACAGGATCTACGTCCTGTTCAATTCTTAAAACGATTTTCGTTGTCCATTGTTTTTAGAATCCTTTCCTCTTCTTCCTTGTGATCTCTGGGTGAAAGCTGCTCTTTCTCAGTGAGAATCTGGTGCATTTTTAAAAATTCATCTTGGGATGTGAGGTCGCTAGGTGAGCCATAATTTACGTCCCGTCTCCTGTTGCCCTTGAGAAGGTGGTGGTGAGCTGTCTTCTTGAATCTCTGGAGTCCATGTGCTATGCCACAATCATGTCAGGCAAAGGAAACCCGAATTTTGAGCGCGCCACGCTGAAGAATTAGCGAAATATTTCCAAGTTAGGGTGGTGAGTGATTTGGAGGGGATCTTTCAGGTGATGGTGTTCCCATGGTGTTCAGATAAGTGCAGCAGATACAGGGGAACACCACCACCTGCACGTTCTCCTCCAAATCACTCAACGTCTGTGGATCTCAACATTTCATTGCTCAGCAGGAGACGGTGATGCTCCCGGTTCTGTTCGTCTTGTCAGTTTCACAAAACCGCTTCACGTTCCCTCAGTGATCTTCAGCCTTCACTTCATTCTCTCACACTCAGATTTAAATTCTCGAGCTTTCCTGGCTTCCATCACTGTGGTGACTATATGTAAACAATCTAGACAGAGATGACATCCTCCCATTATCTACCCTGTCAAACGTGTTCAGAATTTTAAACGTTTCAATTAGTTTCTTTTTAAAATTCCTCAAAACTGCAGGTTTTATATATCAGGTCCACTCAGCCTCTCCTCGTAGTACGATTTTAAACAGTACTTTGTTTAAGATATCTTGTATACATATTTCAGCAGGGGTGCACTCACTAAGGCCGCCAAGTGCAACCTCACTGGTGTGGTTTGAAAGGAAAAATGGTGATTTTGAGCTGTTTCTCTCTATTGAAGCTGTCTGACCTACAGAACGAGTAATACAGCCGCTGTGTCTGTGATCATTGTAGAACATTGTTCACTTTTTGACTACATTTGATCGAGAATTCCCTCCTGCAGCACTGCGATCTTGTCAGCAGGTGGCGGTGGACTACCTCGTAACAAGGAAAAGTTCGTCTCGCGTCTCAACCCACCGGAAGTCACCTGTCGAAGGGGCAGTGATACTAAAGCTTGTGATTTCAAATAAACCTGTTGGACGATAACCTCGTGCCGTGTGACGTTTGATTTAAACCACCCCAGATACTAACCCACTATTAATTAGGGAAATTGAGCAGCCAAATTATACACAGCATGATCCCAACCGGAGAAAGTAAAATGATTCTCATATTAATCTTTCTTTGTCAGTTCTGGTTTCTGATAGTTGTGTGAAAACTGCTGGTCAGGAACAGTGAGATCTCTCCTGCTCCTCTTCACAGTGAGACCTGAAACCTCCCCTTGAGGCACAAGCGGATTCAGTTTAACATCTACAGGAACGTGACTGGGCCCTTCAGCGCTGCAAATCTGGGCTACCATTTCATTAGATCATGGAGAATCTCAAATCCTTTCACCTGCTTTCGCTCTGTATTCCTTCATCCTTTAGTGAGCTTCAGTTGCCTCTAAATCCGTAATGTTTCAGGAGAGGAATTCTACTTTGTATGTAACATCAGTTTGAGAAAGAGTAAATATCGGATTTTCAATCCTGATTGGTCCAATCTTATTTGCACAGGTTATGCCACCCCCGCACCCCACTCCTGCACATTCCAACCCCTTCCCCAGGCTGATAATGGGGTGGGACGTTCCAAAATTGAAAAGAGTTTGGTCCAGTGTGGGGGGAGGATTTCCTCCACTCATTCAAACTTCCCAGATTCTCCCTTCCTTGAAAGTAACTGCGGCAAATTTCGCTGGGCTGCAAATGGGCTCAAGGCAGCAAAACTTCCTTTGCGGGAGCAGAGTTAACGAGAGGAGGCCGATCATCCCATCTAATCTGTTCTGCCATTTTAATGAGGCCATGACAGGTCTGTGAGCGGACTCCATAGACCCGCGATTATCCTGAAAACAAGCGGCGCGGAATCACCTTTCCTCCAGTTCCAGCTGCTCTTGTGCTGGTTTGACCGACCAAGCGATCGGGCTCTCCCCCCGATAAAAGCCGCTCACAGGACTTCAGGTGTGGTCTCAGCGGGACTTTGTGCAGCTGAAGCAGGACCTCTAACCCCGTGCATTGTTGGTCTTTCGATATGAAGAACAGCTTTCTGCTAAGAGTTTAATTTCTGTTTTATTCTTTAATTTCAATGTTATTCTGCTCCAAAATCTCTCTTTGAGGCATCAGTGTCACGAGATTTTCAAGATTTACATGAAACGAATGCTCAGAACCCGAGTATGATGACAGTTCTAAGAGGAAGTGAGCTGTGAATAAATGTACGTGACAGAACAGAATAATTTGGGCATTGGGTTAAGAACACAGGGGAGCAGAGGTGAGGAGGTTATAAGATCAGAAACTGATAACAAAGCAGGTTAATACCAACCAGAAAAACCCCGTAATAACCGTGGACGCTGGAAATCAGAAACAAAAACAAAAACGGATATTGCTGGATGATACTAAGCAGATCAGGCAGCATCTAGTGACCATTCTTCAGAACATATTCTCGTAATGTACGAATATTCCAATAACTAACACTAATGTCCCTTGTCGCTCGGCCAATTTCTCAGCCAGGACAATCATTTGCCTTCAATCTGACATGCTGCACGTAGACTCTCCCTTTGGCAGCGGGTTCCACATTCTCATGTCATGAGAACATTCTGTCATGAAATTTCTCCTCATGTCGGGAAGAGCCTGTATCCGTAAGAAGAATCCATTGAACAGAGAGGCCTATGTTATGGGTGTGTCTGGAGGTCACAGCATCGATAGGAAATGCATTACATTATCTCTCCAGAGTTCCTCTGGAAAGGGACATTCCAAAAAGAGGAGGGAAGCTGCCTCGACTCCAGCAGGAGGTGTCAGTTGTGATTCATTAAAAGCGCTCTTCCCTCTGAGTCAGGCCAGGGCATCAAGGTCTGGACAATAATCCAGACGGGTCCTGCCGTGCGGGACTGAGACGAGACAAAGCAGCTGCTCTGCTCACTGGTTTCACTTCTGGGCTCCAGGTGTCTGATGTGTTTCTGTAAATTACAACAGTGTGCACATTTCAGAAAGGCCGAAAGGTTTTTAAAGCGCCTTGGTAAATCCAATTATTGTGAAAGACGCTACATAAATGCAAGACCTCACAGATCAAATCCACGGAAAGACCGCCTCTGTATAATACTTTGTGTCTGATGTTGAGTGCCTTCAATCATTCACACAAATCGGGTTATGGATTTGGATTTCACACCAGGTTTTATCAGAGGCTGTGGACTCGGCAGTGAGTTCAGTCTGCTGCGGAGTGTATGGAAAGCTCCCTCACCGCCCATCTCCACCCCATCTCTCTTTCCGTCCCTCCCCAATGCCAATGCACAAGGGACTTTCACCCTCCCGGCCAGAGTTCAACTCCTCGTCCTATTCCACATTCTAACCCTGTCGCTCCTTCAAAATATTAACTTATTTTTCCTCCCTGTCGAAGTATCTATAGCGCAGTCATTTTAGAATTATTCTCCAAGTATTGTTAAATTAATCGGCAAATCTGATTGTGTTCACAAGCGCAGTAATACTGATAGTGAATCAGAAACAGCTGAGATTGAAAATAATTTCCAGAGAGCAACTCCAGAGACTGACCAGGGAGACAATTCGTCCCACTTGTCTGGATTTCTTCACCGATCCGGTAATACTGGAGTGTGGACACAGCTTCTGCCGTTCCTGTATTACCCAGAGTTGGGAAAGGAAGATCAGAAGTCATACGACGCCAGGTTTTAGTCCAACAGGCCTATTTGAAAACACAAAGTTTCGCATAGCCGCTTGGTCATGTGAAGTGAGAAAGAAGGACACCGAACACAGAATTTGGAAGGAAAAGACCAAAGGGTCGCACAACTGTTGAGAATGCTTTAAACAAAGCTAAGATGCTGGTCAATCTTTAATCAGTTAGAAGGTTTTAATTGATTAATATGTATCTGTAATTCCCCGAATTTCTTTCAAGTCACTGCCCTGAGAGAACTAAAGGTTTTATCAGGATAAAGAAGAGGTGACATTTTAGGTCAGACATTGCACGTTAGAAGTGAAGCCTTGTTCAGAATCTGTTTGTGTTTTGGTTTGGAGTCAAACTGCCCGGCATGTCGACAGGAGTTTCCAGAAAGAAACCGCAGCGGAAAAAGGATCATAAAGAAGCTAGCCGAGGTGTCTGGAAAATTAAAGCTGGATTCAAAAGAGAAGGAAAGTAAACTGCATCGTGAAAAGCATCAGAGAGAATTAAAGCTGTTTTGTAAAACCGACAAGAAATTGATCTGTGTCATTTGTCTCACTGCTAAAAAAAAGACAACATAATTAAATCGAATCGGTGACTGGATGAACCCGATGTTGTCACTGAACTAATCGCTTCGGCAGTGTCTGCAAAATCTCAGGAAAACCGACATCTTCCCGGGAGTGGGTTAAGTATAAAGAAAATGGTGTTGATATTTGTTTTGTTATTACCTGCGTGTTTAATTATCTCTTGGAACTCCATTGTAATCCAGTTACAGCTCCACGTGGAGAGTGTGTGGGTGTGTCTGGTACGGTTGGAGTGTGAGTGTCACTGTGTCTGTGAGCAGGTCTGATGGTCAGTTCCAGTTTACCCTCTCCTCAAGCTGCCTTCCACAATGAACCTCTTTACACTATCATATTGTGCCTGCTCATTTCAGCAGCCTGTCTGTCTCCTCCTGAAGTCTGTTCCTGTCATCCTCATTATTTGTGATTCACTTCTTTCAGGACGAAGCTCTTCGGAAGAGAAAATAGGACATGCTCTTTACTGAAACTCTGCACAGTTTACTCAATAACCAATGACGGGATATTATGGGTTTATTTCCTGATTATTGTCGCAGCTTGGAAGGGTCGTTTATCGGGCGACAGTAACTCCGTTAATAGTTCACGTACAAGTGTTTTTATTATAATAAGAAGCTTATTGCAGGATTGAAATAACATTAGATTTTATAAACGTCTTGTTATGGTTTGCAATCAACGACAAGATGCCTATAAATAATACAACTTCTTTCTCAGGCCGGAAGTGATCTCTGACCTGATTTTGGCTGTTTGTGCGACTGTGACCTTTCCTCTGAACCTGACAGAGGCACACACGGCCCTTTTTTTCCAGGGAATGGTCATCCCTGTCCCTGCATGGCTCCTGTCCAATCCGAGACAGTCAGAGATTAAAGAGGGGACGGAATGCATTTGGCAATACAGCCTCGGTCTGTAACCTTTCCACCGCAATCCTTTTCTGTATTTAAATTGCACATTTAATCTAATGAATGTCTCGAAGTTTTCATATGAACTGTACAGAGTGAATAAAAATGACACCGCAATATGATGCAGATGATTTGTTGTAGGTTTTAGCGCATCTCAAAGGAGGAAAGAGAAATAGAGCGATGGAGACGTTCAGGGAGGAAATTCCAGAGCTGAGGGTCTCGCAGCCGAAGGTCCAAACTCCAGTGGTGGAGTGAGTAAAATCAGAGATGTTCAAGAGGCATGACGTACAGCATCAGGATTCTCGGAGTGTTGCGAAGCCCATGTATTATATAGTCGGACAGGAGGATTTTAGATATTTTCAATCTTTGTTGCTCAAGCTCTGGACATAATGTAGGACGTTCATGGGGGGAAATGTTTATTATTTCCTGTGGAGTTGGTGTCCTAGTAAGTCATCTATTATCAGGGTGTGATCCCTTTTTATTTGCTTGGATGTCTCCTATGTTTACCTTGTGTTATCCATTTACGTTGGCTCAATTATATATATATATATAAAACAAGTTTAGGATTTTTCTTTCTACCACGTTTATTCGTACGTGAATAACACTGAAGCCTTGACTACTTACATTACTTCATAAATATTCTAATAAAGTGGAATTTGTAAAATCAACTGTTTAAAATTTACAGTATTAGTGTTGAAGTTTGCACGTTTGCAACTGCTGGTGCCTGACTGTCTATTGGAAACTTCACTGACCCTTTACAATACAGTTTGGAGAGAAATGATAAACAGCATTCACGCAGGTGAACAGTGTATTCGTTTTCCTGGTGATAAATCCAATTGTGAGGGGAGTAAAGGAGCTCCGAGGCACCAGTTTAAATCCTCATATTGCTAATTGTTAATTCAGTGAGACCTTCCTTTTCATATTATGCTTTCGATGTGTACGTCTGGGTAAGTGTCTGGAGACAACGACTTTGTGCATCAGAGCATTGAAGCAATCTGTCTAACCAGAGGAATAAAGCACTTAAGCAGATTTCTCGAGGACACCGGACTGGATGAATCTAATTTCAAATTGGGGTGCTATTTTTATCATGTCAACAGGAAGACAGATGGACGTCAGAGAGCCAGAGTTAACAGACAGAAAATCTGCTGAGGGAGAATGAAGCACACCCTTCCCCACACCGACCAACTCACTTTCCTCAGTTTCCCTCCACTTCCTCTTCACTTGCCCACATAACTCATACTACCACTTGCGCTTGTCTTCCCTCACATTTTACAGTTTGCCCTCACTCTACCCCAACATCAAACATGTCACTCTTCTCGCATTATTGCCATCATATCCACTTGTGATCACTCTCTCCTCCCACTCACACTCCTCATTTCCTCTTCCAACTCACCCTCCTATTGCTCTCTCACCTCACTACAACTCCCTGACACTTGCGCTCCCACCCTCTGCCCAAGTCTCCATTCACCTTCACTCACCCCCGCACCGTCAGCCTTCTCCCACGCATCTCCCTTTGACTCTCTCCTCCCCTCTCACTGACTCCCCTCTTTCTTGTCATCCTCCTTATCTTCATTGCCTCTCCTCCACCACCTCAATTCAAACTTACCACTTCTTCTCCCTGAGCCCCTACCTCCGCCCTCTGCCACACTCAAGCCCCCATCACTCAGCCCATCTCTGTATTCACCCCATCATTCTCTTCTCAGTTTCCTTGTCCCCATCCCTTACTATACTCTTGTCTTCTGTCTTCAAGCAGGCCCCACTCTCCTCATCCTCCCCCTAAACACTCTCCCATGGACCTCACTCTCAACTCCTCACCTGTAACCCATACTCCCTCCTGCGCTCCCACCCCAATTCCTCCGGGTCTTGCTGTCTTCGTCCTGCTGACTCCCTACTTCCACCTCTACCTGTCAGTCAGTCCTACTGTCCAAATAAAAACCAAAAGATCTGCGGATTCTGTAAATCAGGGACCAAAACAAAGTTGCTGGAAAAGCTCAGCAGGTCTGGCAGCATCTGTGAAGGAGAAAACAGAGATAACGTTTCGGGTCCGGTAGCCCTTCCTCAGAACTTGAGGTGGTTTTTAGTCCTAATGTCCGTAGCGACCTAGCCCTCTCCCACTCAATATCTCACCTTCCTGCTCATGCTACTCACACTTTTGGTTCACTCTTCTCTATCACTTACTCTCCCCTCTTGTTCAACTTCCCATTCTGGTCAATCTTCCCTCTACATTATTTACTTCTTGGTTTGTACCTGCTATTAACTGTCCCTTATCCCTCAGACCACAGTCTCACACTTTCACCTCAAACCCCAATGCACTCACTTCCATTTTGCAAGGATTCATTCTTGATTCTACATCATTCACACTCCCCCACCTTCCCTTCATTGACCAACTTTTCTCTCTTCCCTTCACGTCACTCTCCACCTGCACCTCACCCTCCAATCCATTCTCCTTGTCACTCCACCTCCCCCCGCACTGTGGGTGCCCACATTCTCCAAACTCTTCTCCCCCTCAATACTCCCCACTCACTCCAGGTCTCCTTCCACCCCTCAATCTCACATCCCCCTCCTGCTCATTCCCCATACCCTCTCAACTTGTTCTTCCCTCTCTATCACAGCATCCCAGCCCGATCACTCTCCCCTCACCCTCACTGTGCTCTGTCACTCTGTCCCGCACTGCCCCTCATTCAATCCTAATCGTTGACATTCCTCTTTCCCAACCCCTCCCTCTTGTTCTCCCCCTCCCTCTCCCTTCTGGCTTACTCTCTATTCCAATCCCACTGTTGTCCTCCACTCCACTCTTCCACAATGACCAATCCCTGAATTCTCCGACCTTGACTCTCAGCTCCCCTTCACCTTCACTCTCACCTCCCCTTTGCATGCCGTCCACCTCCATGGACGCACTCACCTCCTTCACATTCTGCAGGCTCCCTCAATTCCCAAGCCCTAACTGTCTCCTTCCTTTTAAACACTCCTACTCACTATCCCCTCAACTCTACTCTTCACTCCTCTCACACAAGCTCCAGAATCCCCACGACTCCTTATTTTATTACTGTCTCACCTAGGCATACCACTTAATTCCCTTTTCTCTTAACCATTCCCTTCTCCTTACGTACCCACTCACTCCCTGACACTCACTTCCGTCTCAAGCTTACTCCTCCCTCCGATGCCCAAAATTCGGGACTTTTTCCCTCACTATTCCCCCCTACACCTTAGCTATTCCTTCCTTCTCACTGTGATCGTCACCCAGCCAAATTTCCTTACATTTCCCTCAAACTCACTGTCCCTCGGAAACCCCTAGTGCTTCTTCACCCTTTACTTCTGCCACACTCTTCTGCCCCTCGCGCTCTCCTCACCTTCTGTTTCAGTTTACCCTCGCCAGTGCAATCCCACTTGTCACTACAGTTGCACTTCCTTTCCTCAGAATTCCAGATGCCCTCACTCTTCCTGGCCTCTCTCTCCATCTCTCTGATGGTGTGACTTATATCCAGCCTCTCTGATTCTGGATTCGAACACAACGAATCCCCACCTCATCCTGTCTGAGGACTGGACCAGTGTGAGACTTGGAGGGAAACAGCAGCAGCTTCCTGACTCTCTTGAGAGATTTGATTCCTGGGAATGTATCCTGGGATCAGAAATATTCAGATCTGGGAGATGGAGGTGGAGGAGAAAACATGGTGGATCCAATTAGTGGCCCGTGAGACTGTGGAGAGGAAATGGAAAATCGTATTGAAACCGAATTCTGAATTCTGGATTGTAGGGAGTGGGGAGCCTCAGGTTTACTTTCAGGAGGAGGGTAGGGGAGGTGGGAGATCCGCTGCTGCTGTGATTCTTGGCTCCTCGATTTGTACTCAAGCAGTAAGTGCCATTCACATTCTTCATGGACGACTGAGTGATTCATCTTTTTGTTGTTAATTTGTTTTGTTTCTTGTAATCCTGATGAAAATGTCAGATTGATTTCAGTAAATTCTCACCATGCTGCAGTAATGCCTATCCCGCACATGACTAAACAACACTGAGGATCTGAACTTATTTTGCTCAGGTCTGCGAATATTTTCTGGAGTCTCACTGCTCCGTTCTAAAATTAGAGGAAAGGAAACTCCTGTGTCAATGACAGTTTATTTTATGTCAGAACAGGAACCTGTCTTGGTATAATTTAAAATCCACGTGGGTGAGACAGTTGTAAATCCTGATTTGAAAGCCTGACAAATTTGAAAGAGGTGGGTGAACAGATTGGTTGTGGATGTCATGATCACACAATATCTAACCATTTTAAACACAGTTCAGTTTTTGCACACTGGAATATAATCATCAGAGTTATCATTTATCCTTGATTTATTACTTTCTCATAATTATGTCCGTAAGTGCAATGATCCTTAAACCATGATAATATATATGTTTGTTTTATTAGAAGTATCTTCAGTCTTTGTAAGTAACCTGCTTGGATTGTGTCTCCATTTATATACTTATGGTTTATATTTGAAAATTGTTTAATCAATCAACATAATCTGAGGCGCCTGGATAGAGATGTTCAGCTGGTCCAGTTCCAGTGCCTTTACACCTGCAGCACTGCAATTTTGATTTTACACTGAAATGTTTGCATTTTTGATGGAGACATTTAGAGTTAATAGGGAAATATGTTCATGGACTTGGAAAACATATTTGACAAAGGTGTCACATAAAAAAATTACAGACAGAAACGAAGGTTTTGGAATGAAATAAAAAAACAGCGACAACAGGATTATGAACGTGGCAGATCGACCGGAAATAGTTACAGAAATGATTCTTTTATGAGTGGGACGAGTTTTACAATGATGTTCCCGAAAGGTAAGTTCCGGCATCATTGCTTCTAAAATATACCACAAATTAATGACTAGAGTATGGGTATATGAGCCATAATTTTAAAATATGTACAGTGAGAAGTATAAAATCTTGCTATTGAGACACCACAAAGAGGGTACTGGAAGAAGTTTACCAGACGGCTGTAACGAATATTCTGTACATCAAAATGTTAAGAAAGATTTTACAGGTTTTACTGAGACACAAACTATAGTTCCTCTTCGAGAAGGTAAAGACAGACATGCAGCAGACTCACAGCAGAACACTCGAGCTCAGTCGAGCAGCCACCAAAATGCATTCAGCCCAAGTCCAGAGTCAACCAGACCATCATTAGGGAAGGCTAGTTCAACACAAATCAAAGCGATTTGCCAGAGAAAGGCGATGTGCCAGACTGTATTGAGATTCAATAATGATCTTGGGACATGGGCTCGAATCGTGCCATGTGGAATTTGAATTCAATGGAAAAAAAAATCTAGAATTAAATGTCTAGTGATGACTGTGAATCCATTACCGATTTCGGGGGAAAGCCCATCTACTTCCCTAATGCCATCTGGCCTACATGTGAATCCAGACCCACAGCAATGTGATTCACTCTTAATGACTTACCAGACCTTTGTTGCCTGAGCCAGCAACGCCCCTCGTTCATTAATTAATTGATAGGGTCAGCACGTACAGGCTGGATCAAACTGCTTCGGCCCATCTCTGATTCAGTGATTTTTTGAGTTAATCTTCACTGATCTTTAGGTCAATTAATTTTACTTGCCAATTCCCCAAATCCAATTCACTGCAACCTTAATCAATCCAAATAAAGCCCATAAAGAATACCAACAGCTTTCACTTGCTCCTCTCAGTGAAAATTGGACCTGGACTTCTGTCTGTTAGCGCAGTGAAAAATACCAGAGGCTGAGTCATTCGGGAAGAGAGAGGGAACATTGTGGATATGAAGCACCTTTTCATTACAAAAAGAGAGGAAATAAGGATTTCTCTCCACCCATATTGAGCAATGAGCTGAGGCGAAGAAATGGAGCAGAGATAAACATCACCCATTCTCTAACAGAAAGGCAGAAGCAATTCAAGGGGGTGAATGGCCCCCTCGGCCGGCTCATTCCATCCAGCGAGATATTAAGCTGAGGTGGTGCTTCCCTCAAGGCAATGTTTCACTCCCCGGTAAAGAGGAGGACGAGACTCACCTAACCAGAGTTTAAGCGTCAACTCATTTTCAGCTTCCGACAAAACTGGCTGCTGCATTTCCTTCATAGCGGAGTCCCCTGTGCTTGACAGTAATTCATTTCGAATTGTGTCAATTTCTAGGGTGTGTTTAGGTGCTACATGAACGCAGGTCTTTTGTTGTTACAGAGTGTACACACTGACAGAATCTTAGCGCGGCAGAGAAAATCCCGATTAAAATGGTCCGATGTGCTGAATGTCTTTTCGCGTGCACCAGACAGTGATTCTTGTTTATTAGATCGAATCCACACTTTCAAAATTGTCTTCATTTAGTCTTATTGTTTGAGTACATGTTTGATGATGATCAGTGCGAAACGTTAACTAGAAACAACTAAATTGATATCTGGGAAATATTGTAATACTTGGTTAACGTGTAGCGTGTGATAAACGCTGCAGTATTTCGCTGGCCCTGGATGAGTGTATATTTGCCTCTTTTATTGACACAGCATTGTTTCATCAAGGACTGGAGTACAGTAATCGAGGAGAGCAAATGATTGGAGAGCCGGCGATTTGAGCAGACTTGCTTTCTGTCTTAGCATAAAAACACTGACCTGGTCAAATTACTTAGAACCTACTGCACTCCCGGGTTCTCCATTATCTGGTGAAAATTGCGAACGGATTCACTCTGCGGGGCATATTATATGACGCTGAATTCTCTTTCAGCATCTGCTTGTCAGAGGATCATGGGGAACACAACGTTAGAAAATTGACCTCGGAAATCCAGCTAAAGTGAGTTCAGGTATCAGTCCCCGTGCATTGAGTTCCCTACTACTTGCTGCATTTGTCTCTATTACAAAAAAAAGCGTAAACAACCTTGAATGCAATTTTTATTTCAAAAATATACTTTATTCATAAAATGTCTTTATATAAAAACATAGTCACTAAAGCAGTTACGTTCTGTATAATCTTAGTACACGGAGAACAAGCAGACATTGGAGTTTGCTTCTCCTGACAGTTCCAACAACCCAAAAGCAAAACCCACATGCAAAGGTGGCCATCAGAATGAGGGTGACGTTAGGCATGTTCTCTCCCACCCCCCGCCCCCCCCCCCCCCAACAATACCCCCCACCCCCTTCCACCGCTCCTTATCCAGAGCTTTGTACATGGTGTCCCTGTGGACACGGTACATCTTAGATCTCCAGATGAAGTGGATAATGGCTCGACTGACTGCAATGGTGCTGGTTCTGGACATGGACCAGGCTTGCGCTATATGCAACAACAGAGACTGTGCCTCACACTTCGAGACCAGATTTTTACCTGCAATGTACAGGGAGTCGTTCTCTGCAAAACACAGTTTCTCAGCTTTGCGGTACACACCTCCCAAGGATATTCCCAGCATCGTCAAGTAATCTGTCCTGACGGTGAAGGGGATAAAGGATTGTTTGGCCCATTTCCCCAAGAACGTGGCCTCCCTCTTGCCTCGGTTTACCTTGGCTACAGAGGCCAGTTCCAACTGGTCGCAGATGCTCATGAGTCTGCGTACTGACAGAGGATTCGAGCAGAAAACGGCGACGTTGTCCATATACAGGAAAGCTTTGACCTGCAGGCCTCCACTGCCTGGAATAGTCACGCCTCTCAGGCTAACATCCTTCCTGATGGACTCAGCAAAATACCCGACACAACACACAAACAAGGCAGGAGACAGCGGGCAGCCCTGCCTGACTCCAGATCTGATTGGAAAATTTTCTGATTTCCATGCATTAATTGAGACTGCACTAACGATGCTGGTGTAGAGCAGACGGATCCAATTGCCGATTCCCCACCAGCCCCGGCGACTGCCCCCACGCCCAACCCACCACCCCAAAGCCCGTTTTGGAGAAAATGTTCCACATGTAAGAGTTGGATGTCTAGGTTTCAGATATCCTGTCAAAGGACTTCTCCTGGTCCAGGCTAATGAGGCAGGCATCCACCCGGTCCTGCATGTAGGCAATCGTACCCCTGAAGAGCGCGAGTGTCTCAGAGGTTGTCCTGCCCGGTACAGCACAGGTGTAGCCGGGGAGAATCATCATTCTCAGAGCAGACCTGACCTGGATGGCGGTGACCTTAGGATTTTGTAAACTCAGTGAAATGGTCGCCAATTTCTAATTTCCTCCCTTTCCACACATAACTGAGGGTAATGATATCGTTCCTCATGGATTTACCCATGCTAATTTCTACGAGCATTCTGTCGTACACCTCCTGGCCATCCAAGTCCCACATAGCTGAATAAAACTCAGCTGTTAAACCGTAGCTTCCGGGAGTTTAATTCTTTACTAAGGACTCAAGGTTCCATCTTTGGCCTGTGGCGCAACATTCCAGGCAGGAAGGTCCGCGGGTTCCTGCAGCTCACAGCACATTCCACCCGGTAAATCCCTCCCTACAAATGAGTTTCTGTTTGTTTTTTCTCTCTCCCTCCTTCCTTCCTCCCAGCGCTACAAAGCTTCTTGCTGATCTTTCGGATCCCAGTTCCGATACACGGTTTATTCCCGAAACGTTAACCTGACTTCGCTCTCCACCTGTGACTGAGACCGACCCCCATCAGTTTACAGCTGGCAGGAGGCAGGGGGGCCGGGTGAAATTATGGGATGAATCTATCAATGCCCTTTAATTTTACGGATTGTCAGCGGGGCAGAGTTTAGTCCATCGTCATTCCATCCCGGATTGAAGAAGGGAAAGATCCTCTCAGTGAAAGTGTGGGTGAAAGTGTGGAGATGGGACATGGTGTCCGCGTTGTAAAATGACACCTGTCCACCCTCATAGTCCAGGAAAACCCCGATCTTCCGGGGATTCACACTCGGGGAGAAGGGGGTCACTGAGGGGGAGGTGGCGGCTAGATAACCTTTTCCGGGAAACAGCTCCACAATCCAGAATCCGGTCTCTGTTTTCAGGTTTGTTCTCCTTTTCGTCTCCACAGTTATTCTCCCCAGCCTCTACCTCCCAGTAATGTTTCCATGATGTGATTCCCTCTGATCGCGGCATATATTCCCGGGGATCAAATCTCTCCAGGGAATCAGGGCGCTGCTGCGGCTTGTCTCCAATTCTCACACTGGTCTGGTCCGCAGACAGGATAAGCCGGGGATTCACTATATTTGAATTCAGAGTCAGAGAGGCTGGAACTGGGGGAGAGCTCAAACAGCACGGTTAGAGAGAGGGAGGGAGGGAGAGAGAGACAGGGGCCGAGAAGAATGATGGGAGTAGGAAGTGAGGGATTGAACGATGGACGGGTTCTGCAGGGAAAATAAGGTGGTACAGAAATGGGGATTTGAAGAAGGGAAGGGTCAGGGAAAGGGGTGCGATTGAGAGAGGTTGAGTGAGTGATGAGGGTGCAGGAATGAGCAGAAAGGATGGGTAAGGCGGACAGCTGGTGAGAGAGGAGGGACGGGGAGACGGAAGGTGAAAAGTCTCATTGGGTGTGGAGACGAAGTGCACGGAAGAGCAAATGTAGGAGAGAGGGAAGGGACGGAGAGAGGGGGGAGATTGAGGAGATGTGCGATAGAGGGAAAGGATGGGGAGAAGGAAGAGAGGGTGGAGAGTGAGGTCGGGTGGGAGAGAGGAGGGGAGAGTGATGGGACTGTATGAGAAAGAGCTGTGAGGAATGAGGGGGAGTTTAGAGTGGGGTGCGAGTTTAGTATTCGGGTGAGAGTGATGGGAAGGAGTAAACCAAAGTGGGTAGACGAGCGTAGATTGTGGAATGCAGCATCGTCTGGAAATGTGGGAAGAGTGGGGAGAAGAAGGAGGAATTGAGGGGGAAGTGTGATGGTAGTGGCAAGAGCCTCTTCCTATAACTCAAAACCTTCAACCCCATCAGCTTACTTATAAATCTGTTCAGCATCCTTTCAAGAACATCTTTCCCATAGCAGGGAGACCAGAATACAAGGCAGTATTGGCCTAACCAATGTTCTGTACAACCATGATATGCTATCCCAATTTGTAAACTCAGTGCATTGTCCAACAAAGGTCAGCGTACTAAATACATTATTCACCCGCGAATACACCTTCAAAGAACTATGAATCCGCACTCCAAGGTCTGTTTTTTTTTAGCAACAATCCCTACGACTCTACCATTAAGTGTATACGTACTGCCCTGATTTGCCTTACCAAACTGCAGATTCTCATATTTATCCAAATTAAACTCCATCTGCACTCCTTGGCCCATCGCACCATCTGATCAGTCCCTTTGTACTCTGAGGTAACCTTCTTCGCTGTCAACTACACAATGATTTCTGAATTTACTGATCATGCCTCCTACGTTCGTGTCAGGACCTTTAACGTACACAACAAGGGCTAAAGGACAGTGAGAAATGGAGAGGACAGTGTGAAACGAGGGAGAAAGGCACTCAGGAGGTGAAGGGCATTGGTGAGCGGGAGACGAGAAGGCAGAGGACGAGGAGTAGATGAGTGGAAACAGGGTTGGGGTGTGATACGGTCAGGAGGGTGGGAGAGGGTGTGGAAAATTTCAAATGGTAAAGAGCGAGAGGGGAGGGAGAGAACAGCAGGAGGGGGCGAGTGGAGAGAGTGCAGGTGAGGATGGAAAAGGGAAGAGCAGAGAGAGGGGCAGGGATGAGAATGGGAAAGACAGAGCACGGGAAGGGGACATAACACAGAGGAGTAGGAGATTCAGAGGGGGATGAAGAAGTGTCTAGACCCGAAACGTCAGCTTTCCTGCTCCTCTGATGTTGCCTGGCCTGCTGTGTTCATGCAGCTCTACACCTTGTTACCTCAGAGGGGGATGGGTTAGGGCGTGTGAATGGAGAGTGCACCCGGAGGGGGTGGGCAGAGATAGAGAGCGGGGAAAGGAAAAGGAAATGTGCTTTGTGGATGAATGAGTAACTGGACAGGAGAGAAGATGGGGGAGAGAAATTCGGAGGGAGTGGAGAGAGGAAGCCTGTGGAAACCTGTCGCATGTCTTTTTGCGGTGAGACCCTTCAGATTGGACTGGGCCTTTGATCAAATTCCCGGAGCGAACAACGGATTCACTGGCTTCCTGCTCGCTCGATCAATGGGGTCACTGAAATAATTCGGCTGATCTCAATTCTCACCCTCACTGCTGTCAGTTCGATGCTATCCCTATCTGCTTGTAGACTTTTTCACGGTGTGAAATGATGCCTGGTTATCTCTTGCGCTGCTTGAACCTAGAACACTCCAAAAAGTACACAACACAGCCTCCATGATCCAGAGGAGACTTGCAGTCACTTCTCTTGACTGAGGAGTCTGGATCGACTGAACAGCTTAGCTGCCTATGTACACACGCACTCCAAAGAGTGTCTGTCCTCCCGCTAACGCACTGATAAAAATATTGCTCCAACCGCCTCAAGAAATTTTGGTTCACATTCTGAGATCCGCGCTGTCTTAATCTATTTATAGAGACCCCTTCACTGTTAATTAACATTGCGGTGACGACTTCACTCACTTACTCAGAGGAGCCGACAGAAAACAAAACGTGAAAAGGCATGAGCAGCAAGGCAATGTGTGTATTTAATACGAGGCTTTCGGTCCTATTAAGCCATTCAGAACAGGAGAGTTATTACTAGAGTTTTGCCGGAGTTACTAACATCTATCATTTCTCTCTACACAATGTAAAGCACCTTTAAACTATTTTTTGCCAGACAGGTCCCTATCAACTACTTGATCATTGTCACTCAGTCTGTAATTATTAAACAGTCTGTGTTATGAATTTGTCTTTGCTGGAATATTTTAGAATTGATTTCAGCGCTCAGTATTCCAGCATTATCCCCGTGACAGCTTCGGCGTTAACCAGGAAATAAACTCTCATGAACAATTTCACCAAACTGCGTTTCACTAAAGAGCGTGTCGCCCTCTTTTCCCACAAAGTTCCTCCGAGAATAATTCAAATAAAAAGTGAGCATTTTATTTGAGAGGATTTAGAAACTGTTGGTGAAATGAGCAGAGGCAGGACAGGTGAGATTCAACACGAGAATCTAAATAGACAGAGACAAAAATAGAAATTGCTGGATAAGCTCAACGGGTCTAGCAACATCTGTGGAGAGAAATCAGAGTTAACGTTTCGTGTCGAGTGACACTTCCTCTGAATGTAAATTAGTACGTTTTGGAAGGAAGATTTAGAAGTGGCATTAGAAACTGAAACTTAACATGAGACGCCGGTCACGTTGACAGCGACTGTCACAGACACGCACGAAATGGAGCTATGACTGGATTAGAAATGGCGTCCCTTTGTCTGTCCAACTGTTCTTCTCTCTCTTTGAGCTCTATCCCGACTTATTATTTATTTCTTACCTCCAACCCCAACCTATCTTGTGCATATAAACCGACATTTTTCTAGCTACCATCAGTTCTGAGGAAGGGTCACTAGACCCGAAATGTTAACTTTGATTTCTTTTCACAGATGCTGCCAAACCTGCTGAGATTTTCTAGTAACTTCTGCTTGTGTTTCTGATTTACAGCATCCGCAATTCTTTCGGTTTTTATTTCGAATGGGCGTTTCTACTCAAAGCTGACCCAAGGAACGGTAACGATGAAAGAAAAAGTAACAACCGTTGCACAGTATGGCCGACAGAGTATTAAATGTCGATTAATATAGAACGATGTAAAGTCTGTAGGTTTTACAGTGCCAGGTTCATATTAATGATACGAGAATATCATACATACACTGGGTTATTATGAAAGTATCAAACACACATTGGATTAGAGTCATAGAGTCACCCAGCATGGAAACAGACCCTTTGGTCCAAGTAGTCAAAACCGACCATGATCCCAAACTAAACCAGTCCCATCTGCCTGCTTTGTGTCCATATCTCTCCAAACCTTCCCTATTCGTGTACTTCTTCAAATGTCTTTTAAATGTTGCAACTGTACCTGCATTCACCACTTCCTCTGGAAGTGCATTCCACACAAGAACCACACTCTGTGTACAAAAAAATTCCCTCATGTCCTTTCAAATCTTACAGCTCTCACCTTAAAAGACAGCTTTGAATTCCCCACAGTAGGGAAAAGGCCCTTGCTGTTCACCTTATTTGTGACCCTCATGATTTTATAAATCTCCACCTCCTACACTCCAGTGAAAAAGTCCAAGCCTATTCAGCCTATTTTTATAACTCAAACCTTCATTTCCCATAAACATCCTGGTAAATGTTTCTGAACCCTCTCCAATTTAATAGTATCCTACAGAACTACTCACAGTACTCCACAGTACTGGCGTCGGATACTGTAGATTACAACCACTCACATTTATGTATCACCTTTAATTGAATCAAACAATCCCAGAGCACTGCACGTGAGTATTATGGAACAAAATCTGTCAGCGAGACTCGTTTGGAGCTAGCAGGTCATTTGAGCAAAAGCCTGGCCAAAGAGGGATGTTTCAATGGACTAGGCAAAAAGCAAGTTCAAGATACCGAGGTGCAAGGGGCGGGGGTGCGGAGGGCAATCAAGAGTTTGGGGCCCAGGCAACCAAAAGAGAGGGGCACCAGTAAGCGACGCAAATCAAGGATGCTTGGACAGCTCAGGGTTACAAGAGTTCAGATATCACAAAGGGGTTCGCGCTGGAACAGATGTAACACATATAAAGAGCAGAGAGGCCATGGAGGAATTTCAAAATAAGGTAGAGAGTATTAAAATACAAATTATCCTTTGCCAGGATACAATGTAGCTCACCGAGTACGGGGAGGGAAGGGGATTTGTGTTGGGTGTACGGGACACGTATGAGTTGACGTCAGTTTGAAAGTGGGTGGAATGTGGGAGACCTGTCTGGAATGTATTGGAACCATCGAGATTGAGATTTCTTCTAGAAAGGCACATGAGTTGCAGCGGGCTGGTTTTGAATCGATGGGCAGAATGGCTCCCTTTTGTGCTATAAATGTGTCTCTGACTCAACATTCTAAGAGTAAATTAAACTTGAGGTTCACGGAAAGAATAACAATCTAAGTGTAAAGCTCACGACAGTTTATTCCTAGAAGGAGACTCGTATTTCTGGGATTTTGGGTGAGTACGGGAGTTCGATGAAAAAAAAAACACAATCTCCCCATAAATGCACAAAACAATTTACTTTTGTTTCTGCTTTTCAGTAAAAGTGCAGTCGTGCAATTGAGTCATAAAATTCTTACCCATTATGACTATTAACCATCAAAGATACTCTTCAACTTTTTAAGCACTTTTTCAGTGGACAATTCCGAGATTCTGTCAGCAGGTGGCAGCCGTGTATCATGTAATACAGACCAGCACTTCAAGCCATTCCAGAAACAAACTGTACCGATAATGAATTGGGGAAATGCCGCAGATTGTACAAAAGCACAATTAGAAAATAAAATGTTTCGTCCGTTAATGTATCTCGGAAGGTTTTCTGAGAATTGTTGGTCTCGACACCGGGAGAAATCCCCTGTTCCTCTATACATTGAGTTCTGAAACCTCTGGCCCCTTCGACCCATTGAGCATGCACTGACCGATCTACACTCGTTCACTTTTCAGCATATGTCTCATAGCTGTGAATGTTATGATAATTCAAGATCTCATCCAAGGACTTTTCTTTAAAGATCCTGAGGTTTCCCACCTCAACCACCTTCCAAAGCAATGCATTCCAGAATCCCATCTCACTGAGGGAAAAAAGATTTTCCTTCAATCCCCAATAAATCTCCTGCTATTCATCTTAAAATTATACCCCTTCGATATTGACACTTCAACCCTGCTACTAATGGGAACAATTCCTCTCTGTGCGCTCTGCCCATACCGCTTTTCATTGCATACACCTCGATCAGGTCACCTCTCATCCTTTTCTGCTCTGAAGAACACAACTCGAGCCTGTCCATCATCTCTTCAGAGCTAATCTACTCCATTCTATGAATCTCGTCTGCACCTCCTTCAATACAACAGTGAACTTATACGAAACCAACACGCAATACATTCGCCCACCTTCAGAAATATCAGCCCACTTTTTTGCTCCATCCATTTCTGCAACTTTGAGAAGTTCTCCTCAAGAGAGTTTACATTCTCTTGAATCTCTCGAAAGTTTTTCTCTATTGGTCCCAGAATCCCCTTTTCTTCTTCCTGAGATCTCTGAGTAAAAGCTACTCTTTCTCAGTAAGAATCTGATGCATTTTAGTGAACTCGGATGTGATATGTGTTTGTAGACTGCTCGCCCGTTCCTACCAAATGACATGGGAATCATCATTAATGTCCTGTAATAAAGGGAACAAAACTAACCAAAATCCCAGAAAATCATCACAGGGAAACCTCAACCTCTCTTCGAAAACCTTCCATTTTCCTTCTATTGTTTGCAGTTTACAAAACAGCCATTTCTTCTCTTGAGAAGATTTCGAAGATTCCGAATGATCTTCGGATCGGAAGAGTCCATCCCAGAAGGAAACGGCTTATTGAAAGCAGCGGACGACTAGATCAAGCGAATCTCTTGTTTACTTTCCTTGTGGATCTCAAAAGCTTCATTGATCAGCTGAAAATGCTCAGTCTGCTGTTTGTGAAACAAAATCAGAAATTGTTGAAGAACTTCAGCAGGCCTGGCAGCTTCTGCGGCGAGAGAAACAGAGTTAACTCAGAGTTCTGAAGAAGGGGTACAGGCTAGAAACGTTCATTCTCTGCAGGACCCATCTGGTCAATTTCAGAAAACAGATTCAGGTTCTCCCGAAAATCATCACGCTTCATTTCCTTCTGTCTCACTTTCAGATTTAATTCTCGAGATTTTCTGACCTCACTGATTATTTATAAATACTCCAGTCAGAGAAAACATCCTCTCAGTATCTGATGAAGAGTCGTCTAGAATCGAAATGTTAGTTTGCTCTCTTTTCATGGATGCTGCCTGACCGACTGTGATTGCTAGCATTTGTTGTTTTCTCCCAGTATCTACACTGTACAGCACATTCAGCATTTCAATTACTTCAGTGAAAATATTGCTTCGTCCACGAGACACTATGTATTATATACCTTGTCTTCTCCGCCTCTACTCATAATACGATCTCCAGTGGAAATTCACCATACCATCCAGAAAGTCTATCCAACAAAAGTCTATAAAATCACAGTGCAACTTCACTATTCTGACACCTCAATTCTTTTTTTAAAAAGTGGATTCAAAGTGAAAATACCGATGGTTATATTAAGCTTTACCTCTGGTTCTCTGCATAGAAGCTGCCTGGCGTCTAAAGCAAATCCATTCAGCCCAATGTGGTAGTTAATCATCCTTCACTTCACTTTTTAATGGACATTTTGTCCTGCAGCACTGAGACTCCGTCTCAGGCGTGTACCGTGTATTAACAGGAGACCAGCCATCGCGCGGAGACTCAACCCATTCAAGAAACAAACTGCACTCACAATGAATTAGGGAAATGGTGAAGTCAAGATGTACGAAGTACGAACGTTTAAAAAGTACAATCAGAACATGAAATGATTCGCCACTTAATGTCTCTTTGAAAGTTTCCGTTGTCTGAAGAGACAAAAAAAAAACTGCAGTTGCTGGAATTCAAGGTAGACAAACAGGTGGCTGGAAGGAGGGTAATACCGAAACATTAACTGTCCTTTCCTCCAAATGCTGCCTGGCTAGCTGTGTTCTTCCATCCTCCTGTTTGTCTCCCGTTGCCTAAAGATTGTCGGTCTCGACACCGGGAGATCTCCCCTGCTTCTCTTTACTGTGGGATCCGAAACCTCGCCATGAGGCAGACGCGATTTTAGTTTAACATCTACAGGAACCGAAGCAGGCCCTTCAGCGATGTTAGTCCCTTCCACCGTTCAATGAGATCGTGGAAAACCCCAAATCCTTTCACCCGCTTTCGCTCCGCATTCCTTGATCCTTTAGTGGGCTCCAATTTTCTCCCTATCCATAAACTTTGGGACGAAAGAATTCCACAATGTCTTTTACATCTGGTCATGCAAGAATAAACATCGGAATTTCACTCCCGAATGATCCAGCTGTATATATAAATACTATGCCTCTGTTTCCCCTCCCACAGGGTTGATTCCGTGCTCACAGGGTGTTCCAAAATTATAAAGGATTGCCGCCGCTTACAGGAAATTTCCAAATTTACCGTAATTTATTTCAGAAATAAAATACGGTAAATTAAGCTGCGCTGTAAACGAGGTCCCAAAGCCAGGTCTCACTTTTCAAGAATTTAACAATAATGAGAGGAAGCCTCTATATCAGGAATCAATCGAATGAGAGAAAGGTGGTGCATGCGAATTAATGCAATTAGGGAAGATAAATGACTGAACGATGAACAAGAATTAAGTTGCGAATGAGTGTACGTGAGACAACAGAATAATCTGAGTAGTGGACCAAGAACACAGGAGGTGGGAGGTGAAGCAGCTGACAAGATCAGAAACTGAAAATAAAAGAGTTTCATGCTGATGAGGCAGAGGTAAAGTGTACAGCAGCTGCAGAGTGTCGCCGTCTCTACCTGGCTCATTCTGAGCTCTTGGTGTTTTTGGAACAAGCTGCTGCCTATCACAATCAGTGACCATGAGACTGGATGGATTCTGACTCAATAGGACAGACGGACAGACAGCGGCAATTGCAGGAGGGGAGAAAGGAAATGACGTAGTACTCTCCGTCTCTTGTAGCTGAGAAATATTCCCAGCTCGGTCAATAATTTACCTTCAATTCCAACATTTTCGTCACTGTCGCTGCTTGAATCCAGTATAGTCTCTAAGGAAAATCCCTTCCCTGCAGATCTCCGCCTTCTCTTCCTCTCTCGCCCTCTGCCCCACCCAGTGTGAATACACCATGAGCCTTCAACCTCTCGGCCAGCGTTCAACACCAGCTCCATGTTCTAAATCTGTTTCTTCTTCAAGAAATTAACGATTGCTCTCTGTATTGAAAGGCGAGGGGTTATTCACATTTCGCAGCCTAATCACATTTTAATTCTGCGACTGCTCTCTCCCAATCCTAGAAGAAAGTGAAATATTCCTTAGATTCTGTCACAGTGAAGAAATCGGCTGTTCTAAAAACGAAAGGGAAGCAGAAACGGAAGATTTCCGAAGTGAGGGTGAGGTCTCCCTGTGCTAATTTTCTGGGATCTCGGTTAGTTTTGTTCTCTTTATCGCGGGACATTAATGATGTTTCACATTTCATTTGGTAGGAACATTCTGCAGACCCACATCACATCCGAGTTCACTAAAATGCACCAGATTCTCGCTGAGAAAGAGCAGTGTTTACTCAGAGATCTCAGGGAAGAAGAGGAGAGGGTTATGGAACCAATGGAGAAGAACCTTCGAGAGATTCAGGAGAATTTAAATTCTATTGAGGAGAAACTCTCAAATTTGCAGAAACAGATGGAACAAAAAGATGAGTTAATATTTCTCAAGGTGAGGAAATATATCGCATGTCAATTCAGCGAAACTCTCACAGTTACAAAACATGATGACAACTGTTAAATTGAACTGCTGAATCACAGGAAAAATGTGGAAGGTGAATTTGACACTGTTCTGGCGGTTCTGCTTATTGTCATTGAACTCATCGCTCCCACACTGCCTGCTGAATCTCAGGGATACCGTCAATCCCCATTCCCCAGGAAGCATTGTCCTAATCTTTAATAATTATCTCGGTGTTCCCCAAATTTAATTCTGTACTGCAACTCCCATTATAATCCAGTTACAGTTCCATGTCTGTCTTCTAAATTTGTTACTGTCATCCTCACTATTTGTGATTCATTTCTTCCAGGACGCAGCTTGTCAGAAGAGAAGGTAGGAGATGTTCTTTACTGAAACTCTGCGCATTTTGGTCAATAATGCAGTGATGTATTATCATGGATTTATTTATATCCGCGGTATTGTTGTCGCTTTAAGGAGTCGCTTATTGTAAAGGACCAAGCATCAGACTTTGGTTTTAGAGATAGTAAGAACTGCCGATGCTGGAGTCAAAGGTAACAGTGTGGAGCTGGAGGAACACAACAGGCCAGGCATCATCAGAGGAGAAGGAAAGCTGACGTTTCGGGTTGGGACCCTTCTTTAGGGTCAGCTTTCCTGCTCCTCTGATGATGCCTGGCCTGCTGTAGACTTTAGTTTTAATTGGGATGCTACCAGAAGATTGCAGGCTCTGGTCCTGCTGTCTTGACTTCGCGGTCCTCTTCTGGCGCAGCAACAGAGTCCTCACTCCTGGACCAGAAGACCTGGGTTTAAGTCCTATCTGCTCCAGAGGTATGCCATGGCATCTCTGAGCAGGTTGATTAGAAAAGTAGTTAATTTTTTAAAAAAGAATGATCCTTTTCTGGCTCACACATGAATGTCTTCATGAAAACAAGCTATAGAAACAGTATCGTATTTTGTAAATTCTAAACAAAAGAAATAGGGATGCTGGAAGTCAGAAACAAAAACAGAAATTGCTGGAAGAAAGACTCAGCAAGTCTGGAGGCATTGTATAATTTCACTTTATAAAACTGTTTTGTTCCATTTAATAAAACTGTTCGATAATATTGCAAACAATGACAAGATGCCTGTGAATAATAGAACCTGGTTCTCAGGCTGGAAGTGACCATTGACCTGATTTGGGCTGTTTGTGTGACTGTGACCTTCCCTCTGACCCTGAGAGATATTCACATGCCCCTTGTTTGGCAGTGGATGGGTATCCCTGAACCTACATGGTTCCTGACCAACCGGAACAGTCACAGTTTAAAGATGGAATCATGTTCTCAATTTATGATACAAAGTCCATCTCTAACCTGAAAAACCTCAACAACACGATCATGTAAAGAATTGTAAAGGCAGAACACAATGTATTTTTTTATAAATTTATTTTTTTATATGAAAGAATGTCACTCTGTTAACTCTTCAATGTAACTGTTTTTTGTGTTGAAGAATAACGGTCTTGTAGTGTGAGGTTCCAAAGTGTTTCACTGGGGTTTTAGAAAGATAAAAGAAAAAGTGATACCGAGCTAATGAGAGATGAGGTTTTACCGCATTTTAAAGGAGGAAAGATAAATAGAGGGATGGAGAGGTCCAGGGAGGGAATTCTTGAGCTGAGGGGCTTGGCAAGTGAAGGTCTGACCTCCAATGGGGAAGAGATTGAAATCAGAGATGGTCAAGAGCCGGAAGTAGGGGAGCAGGATTTTCGTTGTGTTGTGGGAACCACGTATTACATAGTTGGACATAGTTTCCGTCTTTGTTCCACAAGTTCTGCTTATAATACAGCAAGGGGGAAATGTTTATCATCTCCTGTGATGTGTAGTGTCTTGGTAACTAATCTGTTATCAGGACATGACTTCTTTTTCTTTTCCCGGGGTTTCCAATCCTTGCCCTTGTATTATCAAATTGTGTTGGGCTCTGTTATGAAATCGGATTAACATTTCACCTTCTACAATACTTATTCGAACGGGATCAAGGCTGAAGGGTCGGTCATTTTAATCATTTCTGAAATAGTTTGACAAAGAGAAATTTGTAACATCAACTGTTTAATATTTGCAGGATTAGTGTGGATGTTAACAGACTCTCAGCTGCTGATGCCTCTCTGTCTCTGGGACAGTTCGCTGGCCCTTTACAATACACAGTCTGGAGAGAAATGGTACACACCATTCACCCAGGTAAACACATATATTCATTTTCCTGATGATAAATCTAGCTGTGGACGGATTATAGGAGCTCCAAGGCCCCAGTTTAAATATTCATATTGATTGTTGTTAATCCAGGAGACTCTCCTTTTCATATTAAACTTTCTGTGTGTACATTTGGGTAAGTGCATGAAGCCATTAGTTGTCTGTGCCAGAGGTGTCTGACCAGAGGAATAGAGCACAGAAACTGGATTTCTACACAAACTGGACTGGATCCACCTGGAGTCACATTGTGATGACATTTTTATCATTTTATCAGATAGACTTAGAGACATTGTTTATACAATGAGGTTTCTCCTTAAGTTTAGTGAGGTAATACTGGAGACACATTCTGCAAATGTTACAAGAGTTGCAGGGGGCGAACTGACAATGATGACCAGTGAGGAATATGTCATATGTAAGATTTTGGTCTCATCGTCACTCCATTTGTAATGCAAAGCTGTGAGATACTGAAGCATAAATAATTCCAAATTACCTTGTGAGTAGGTTACCAAAGGCAAGAGGCAAATGTTTGACTGAACAATTGTATTTCAGGCATGATTCAAATCGGATCAGAAAATTACAGGTTATAGTGATATTGAAGATGGACAGCAATGGTGCAAATATTTACTCTGTGTCCAGCTCGGGAAAAAAATGACACTTCCTTTTCTACACAGGGAAGTCCAAAACTTGTTTGATGATATTGTGGCTGAGTGCAGCACTGTCACCTGTAAGGGCCGAAAATTGCAAGAGCATCAGTCAAATGAGTGGAAGAAAACTATATATTCCAACCTGTGTGTTGGCGAAGACCCCCTCCTCAAGTCCTGCCCAGGCCACTGCCCCAGTCATGTACAGGTGGGAATCATAAAAACCTCATCAATCGAAAACTGAGGGTGCCTATCAGGAGAACTGCATACCTCCACTATAACCCACACCCCACACTCACTCTAATACAATAATGAGAACAATGGTGTTGCAACAGACACTTAGTTGAGGCTAGACGGTTCTGTTTGTGTCCCCCAACCCTGGCAACATCTTCATAAATCTTTTCTAAACCCTGTCAATTTTGACAACATCCTTCCGATAGCAGAATTGAATGCAGTATTCTAAAAATGGCCTAACCAGTGTCCTGTCAAGCCACAATATGATCTCCCAACTCCTATATTCAAAGTATTGACCAATAAAGGCAGCATACCAAAAGCCTTCTTCACTATCCTGTCCACATGGCACACCACTTTCAAGGAACAATGAACCTGCATTCCAAGATCTCTTTGTTCAGCAACGCACCTCGGGATCTTACCATTAAGTGTATAAGATCTGCTCTAATTTGCCTTTCCAAAAAGAAGCACCTCACATTTATCTCAGTTAAACTCTTACCCGCCACTCTTCAATCCATTACCCATCTGATCAAGATTCTGTTGTCCTCTGAGGTAAACTTCTTTGCTGTCCACCACACCTCCAACTTTGATGTCATCTGCAAACTTATTAACCATACCTCCGATGTTCATAATCAAATCATTTATATAAATGATGAAAAGCAGTGGACACAGCACTGATCCTTGTGACACACCGGTAGTCACAGGCTTCCAGTTTGAAAAGCAGCCCTCCAACACCACCCTCTGTCTCCTATGTTCAAGCTAATTCTGCATCCAAATCCCTCATTTAAAACTTTAACATATATTGCGAATAGCTGGGGTCCGAGTACTGATCCCTGCAGCACCCCACTAATCAATTGCTCCCCATTCAGAAATAGGCCTATTCTTTTCTACTCCATGTTTCCTGCCTGTTCACAATTTTCTGTCCATCTCAATACACTACCCCCAGTCCCATGCACTTTTATTTTGTGAATGGTTTTACTATTTTCTCAGCGCTGTACTGTAAATTCCTTGATAATGCACTCTGACAACTCCCCCACTATTGATATTAGACTGACTCAGCTATAATTCCCTGTTTATTTTTCTCTGTCTCCCTTTCAAAATAATGGAAAATTATTAGCTACCCTGAACTTGTAGGAAATGTTCCACAGTCTAGAGAATCTTGAAAGATGACCATTGATGCATCCATTATTTCGAGGGCTACTTCCTTAAGTACTCTGTAAGTAGATTATCAGATCCTGGGGATTTATCAGCCTTCAAGCCCATCAATTTCTCAAACACCATTCCATTACAAATACATATTTTCTTCAAGTCCTGTGCTACGCCGAGCAGGATGATCCCTGATAGACATACACTGCTCCGGGATATGATCCTCTATGTGTCTGACAGGAGGATGAAGATCTTCATCATCAGCAAAGACAGAAGAAGCTTTTTGACAGAATACTGCACACCAGCATGATGGATATGCTCACTCAAATGGGATTTGGAGATAGGATTGAAATTGGATTCAATATCTTACATCAGCATCAGAGCCAGATTTTCTATCATTTTTTTGTGACACGTAGATCTCTCTGAACAAATCTGAAGTCAGACAGGTTTGAGATCGAGTTGACCATTTGCTTATCTTTTCACTATCAGCTTAGACCACCTGAAGGCTTTTGGGATCTGGTTCAGAGAGGCCAAGGCATGCACCCAAATCATGAAGGAGAGTGTAGCCATATTCAAACACGAAGTGGGAATGTGAGAATGAAGCTGCCACCACATTGTAGGTCAGGAGCTGATCATCATGTATGAGGTGCACTTGGTATTGCTGCACCTACAACAGGTCTGGTTCAGATTTCACTCCTGCACTCTGGCGATCCACCAAAAATTATTTGCTTTGACTGGCCATCAAAAGTGAACTCTGTCTACAGCAACACAGTGTACAGATGTTGTTGCCTACATATGCATAAGGCTAAGAGTCTTTGACCGTGACATCTTTCTGATACCAAGATAATTATGTATAAGGCAGTCATCATTCTGACTGATCTATATGGCTCTGAAACTTGGACAATGCATAGACATCACCACAAGGCCCTGGAGAAGTAAAATTGATGCTGTTTGAGACATATTGTTTGCATCAGCGAAGAGGTAGGGCAGTCGTACTAACATCACCATTCTTGAAGCTTTCAATCACACCAGCATAGAGGCCATGATCATCAGAAACCAACTCCTACTGCTTAGGATGCATGATTTCTGAGTATCAAAGCAGATTGTCTTCACCTGTCCCGAGGAAGGCAATCAGATCAGAGGAAGACAAAGGAAGCTAAAGTCTTGCCTCAAGAAATAAACTGACTTGTAGGAATATCCTGTATGAAGGGACATAATTCTTCAGAAAACTAGTTGTCAGGAAGAAGTACAGAAAGGGAACCGGAGAAAGGAATGGCAATGATCTCAAGGCCAAGGACCATTTCCAACTCCCAGATATACAGACCAAATGTATGGTAGGAGATACAGCTTGAAGATTGGGCTCATCATCCACATAAGGACCAACTGAACTAATGACCTGTGATGCAGAATTTCCTAAATGGGCAATCACATTCGTTAGCAAATGATTGTTGATGATGACAGATGTGTGGACACTGACAGTAAAAACATACACAATGCTATTCTTATACTGATGACAACTTTGTATTTCGTTGCATCAGTGCACAAACATCAGGGATTACTTTGGTCTGTCTGAAACCTATTGCTGTTACAGTGTGAAGAATAGTCTTTGGCCTTGGGTTGCAGACTGGCACATTCCAAGGTCCAGGGCTGTGTGCTGAGGTTCTACCTGTCCTAGTGTTGCAGATATGGATCTGGTCACATTGACATGGAACTCTCTACTGAGTGGAATGATGTTGCACCATCAAGAAGAGAGTTATGGAGTAATATTCCTGTGACCACAAGTCCATTGGACAGTGGTCTACACAGAAATTCCTCAAGGCCTTGCGGGAAAAGGTTGATCTCCCAAGCAGACTGTTAAAGTGAATTGGAAGATGTTCTCATCTCCAGAACATTAAACAAGTTTCAGACATAAAGTAATTGCTGGGTGCAAGGACCTTTCCAGTGAGGTTGTTCCTGGTGATTTAGAGTATCACCCTATCTCCTCGACACATGCTATGGCTGTGGTAAAGAAAGGATAATTGAGCACCTTCTTCTACAGTGTGCCTGTAGAAGCAGTTCCATCACACAAGGCTTTAGTTTTTGTTGGAGTGGAGAATAGAGATTGGAAGTGAAGGAAGGGGGTCCCAAGGCTACAGAACAAGATCGAGGGCCGAAGGGCCTGTACTGCGCTGTAATGTTCTAAGATAAACATCAACTGCAGCTGGAGGAGCATCAACTCGGTGAAAAACACACTCACTTCGGTCTGTCAAAATCTGTCTGTCTTTCACTGCAATACATAGTTTTTGTTCAAGTGATGCAGACCATTACATTCCAAGATCCAGAATGACATGCTGAAGGATGTACTAAAGCTCGGATTAATTGCTGTAAAGGCACAATGGGGTAGAGGCACCGATCCAAGGTCCTTAGATCATGTAACAGAGTCAAAAAAATGTTTCAATCTATTCGAGTTGTATGCTTCAGATAGAACACAACCTGTAAACAATTTTAAATTGATTCAGTAAGATTATCAGAAGAAACTGATTTGTTTTGTTTTTAACCACGTCAGATTTGAATAGTTAAATTTATTTTGCAGTTGTGCTACTTTCAGACCAGTTGTGGGTTTTCTTCTGAGCTGAATTCCAGCTACTTTTAGACTTTGCTGTGATCTCCAAATTTGATGTTTCAGTTAGTTGAGATTGTATTTTCCACTGAACCCACCTTCTGAACTATTGAACGTCTCACTACTTAACTGTTGTGTATCCACCTTTCCTTCCTGTTTCCATGCAAGGTCACATTGTCAATAGATCTCTGTCGTTACATGCTGCACAGCTCCGCTTTCAGATTTTATAATCGAAATCTCCAAACACCCACTCTGGATCACTCTATTTTTTGGAATTATTTTCTGACCTCACTTGCTTCTACGAAGTCATTTAACGTGATCATTTCTGAAATCCAACTCAATTTTCCATCTGCAAGTAAGAACAACAACCA